GGTGTATGGTACTGAGAGACTTGTCCATCGACGCAGCCTGTATTCGGTCCCGGCACCGACTGACCGGCGCGGCTCACCGGCCGGTCGCGATCGGCCACCGTGTGCCCGAGGCGCCGGACGTGCACAGCGGTCAGCGTCCACGCAGGGCCGCGGCAGGGGTGTGCACAGATGTCAGTGCACACAGAAGGCCGCCAGCCGGCACCAAGTCCATACACAGTGACACACACCGGTCCGCTGACCGTCCCACTTCCCCGGCCCGCTGGCTGGATGCGACCTCCTCTGCCCGCTGGCAGTGACACTCAACGGTCCGCTGACCGTCCCACTTCCACGGCCCGCTGGCTGGTAGCGCCCTCCTCTGCCCGCTGGCAGACACTCAACGGTCCGCTGACCGTCCCACTTCCACGGCCCGCTGGCTGGAAGCGCCCTCCTCTGCCCGCTGGCAGACACTCACCGGTCAGCTGACCGTCCCACTTCCACGGCCCGCTGGCTGGAAGCGCCCTCCTCTGCCCACTGGCAGTGACACTCAACGGTCCGCTGACCGTCCCACTTCCACGGCCCGCTGGCTGGAAGCGCCCTCCTCTGCCCGCTGGCAGTGACACTCAACGGTCCGCTGACCGTCCCACTTCCACGGCCCGCTGGCTGGAAGTGCCCTCCTCTGCCCGCTGGCAGTGACACTCAACGGTCCGCTGACCGTCTCACTTCCACGGCCCGCTGGCTGGAAGTGCCCTCCTCTGCCCGCTGGCAGTGACACTCAACGGTCCGCTGACCGTCCCACTTCCCCGGCCCGCTGGCTGGAAGCGCCCTCCTCTGCCCGCTGGCAGACACTCACCGGTCAGCTGACCGTCCCACTTCCCCGGCCCGCTGGCTGGAAGCGCCCTCCTCTGCCCGCTGGCAGTGACACTCAACGGTCCGCTGACCGTCCCACTTCCACGGCCCGCTGGCTGGAAGCGCCCTCCTCTGCCCGCTGGCAGTGACACTCAACGGTCCGCTGACCGTCCCACTTCCACGGCCCGCTGGCTGGAAGCCCCCTCCTCTGCCCGCTGGCAGTGACACCCAACGGTCCGCTGACCGTCCCACTTCCACGGCCCGCTGGCTGGAAGTGCCCTCCTCTGCCCGCTGGCAGTGACACTCAACGGTCCGCTGACCGTCCCACTTCCACGGCCCGCTGGCTGGAAGCGCCCTCCTCTGCCCGCTGGCAGTGACACACACCGGTCCGCTGACCGTCCCACTTCCACGGCCCACTGGCTGGAAGCGCCCTCCTCTGCCCGCTGGCAGTGACTTTCACCGGTCCGCTGGCCCGCTGGCTGGAAGGGCCTCCTTTGCCCGCTGGCAGTGACACACACCGGTCCGCTGACCGTCCCACTTCCACGGCCCGCTGGCTGGAAGGGCCTCCTTTGCCCGCTGGCAGTGACACACCGGTCCGCTGACCGTCCCACTTCCACGGCCCACTGGCTGGAAGCGCCCTCCTCTGCCCGCTGGCAGTGACACTCAACGGTCCGCTGACAGTCCCACTTCCACGGCATGCTAGCTGGAAGCGCCCTCCTCTGCCCGCTGGCAGTGACACTCAACGGTCCACTGACCGTCCCACTTCCACGGCCCGCTGGCTGGAAGCGCCCTCCTCTGCCCGCTGGCAGTGACACACACCGGTCCGCTGACCGTCCCACTTCCACGGCCCACTGGCTGGAAGCGCCCTCCTCTGCCCGCTGGCAGTGACTTTCACCGGTCCGCTGGCCCGCTGGCTGGAAGGGCCTCCTTTGCCCGCTGGCAGTGACACACACCGGTCCGCTGACCGTCCCACTTCCACGGCCCGCTGGCTGGAAGGGCCTCCTTTGCCCGCTGGCAGTGACACACACCGGTCCGCTGACCGTCCCACTTCCACGGCCCACTGGCTGGAAGCGTCCTCCTCTGCCCGCTGGGTCTGACACTCACTGGTCCGCTGACCGTACCCATTCCGCGGCACGCTGGCTGGATATGGAGCAGCGCCCACTGTCACCGGTCCGCTGACCATACCATACCTGTCTGCTGTCTGTCACGTCTCCCTTACTAACCTGCTGGAACCCATACTCACCGGGTCGTCAAACGGTCCACTTTCTCGAGCCCCCGGCGGCAGCACCAACTACCGATGAGTCACCTATTCATTTGACTAACGTCAGGGGCGACTTACAGGTCCCCGTGCCGCTGCGGCAGCGGCGGTGAAATCAGCCGCCATTCCTTCTCTCAACGCCGAAACAGGATTACCGACTAACCTTCAGAGCCGCCGCGGCGCCCGCACCGGCCCGCGCAGAATGAACGATGATGCACCGACCGGCCGCCGCCGTGTGGCGTGTCAACAGTCTGCCTCGCCCGTGCCTGTCCCATCTGCACCATGCGCGATACCGCTCCCCGAGCTGGGTCTACTCGGCTCGTCACAGCGTTCCCGACAGCCGTCTCGCGGGCGCCGCGCTCGAAGCTGCAGCAGCAGCCCGGACACCACCGACTGGGCAAGCAAAGACACCGCCGGCAGCTCCGAGTGCTCCTCTAGCTCCGCCGTCGCATCACTGCGCGGCCACAAGCGGTCTCGGACGTCATTATCCCTCACCCCTCGACGTCGCTGCCTCCCCACCGGAACGGTCGGTTTCCTTACTTTCGGCACCATCCCCTCTACCTCCTGCCAGCCCCCTCCTCCCCGTGGCCTGAAACTGCCCACCGTCAGTGCCACCGCACTTCGCGCGCTCGCCGAGCGCTCCTCGGTAGTGTCGGTGGCCGAGGTAGTCCTTCCCCGCCTACCTCCCTCCGACGGCCTCCGCGGTCAGCCGAGGTACCCGCCGCTCACCCCGGCCGGGTACCTGCGTGGTGTCCCGGCGATCGCGACCTCTACGGCCTAATTTTCCCATACATTTGGCAATTTCTTTGGCGTCTTTCAGCGGGAAATCACGGCACTGACCCTATGCAGGACGCTGATCGACAGAGGGCGTGAAAGGAGTCGAGACCGAGTCGCGCCAAAAGAAAATTGGTATATGAAGGTTACGCGTACCACCGATTGCCGAGCACGTGCTAATGGCACCTTACTGGATCGGATGAGACTGTAAGATTCATTAGAACGGCGAGGCCCACAGCCATACACACATCGGCGCCGCAAACGCCCGTACGTACTCGGCGGCGGCATCGTGCGAACCCATGACTCATATGAAACACCCAGTGACACCTAGCGGTCGGCCAGACATTGCACTGACGTGGAAGTGACTACAGGCGGCGGCGCCCCACGAACTGCACCCTTCCCTTTGCTGACAAACCATCACAGAGGGAACATCTTTCCCCACCTCCTCCCCACTCCCCCACTATTACATTATCTTCCCTCCTAACCCATTGTCTCCTCCTTTCATCAGTCCGTCTCGTCTTTCAGCGGGAAATCACGGCACTGACCCTATGCAGGACGCTGATCGACAGAGGGCGTGAAAGGAGTCGAGACCGAGTCGCGCCAAAAGAAAATTGGTATATGAAGGTTACGCGTACCACCGATTGCCGAGCACGTGCTAATGTCAGCTGGCGGTGGGGGTTTTCCGTTTGTTCGGATATACTCTCAGCGGGTGGACATCCCACAAGAATTTCCATCTCCTTATGTATAAAGAACCGTGGCACGCTTCGGCAGGTGCCCGTGAGGCGTGGGGAAACAGTAGTCAAGAGAGATGATCTGTCTTTTCGCCATGTCCACCAGTATAAGTCGAAAAATGTCCGCTCTTGTTGAGTAACTTCTCGGCTGTAAGACGGCCGGCTGAGAGGTGTACAGCGCGGCCTTGGAATGGATTGCCCGTACTGATGACAGGCGGTGTTATGTTCAGCCCGTTGTTCTACGGTCATTTTGCGGTGCTTAGCGTTTAATCATAGCAAGCGAAGGAGCCACCAGACAGTGAAAACCCAATACAGAAAATGTTTGATGGCCCTGTCAATAATTGAAAGAGGATATAAACCGGCCGGTGATGTCGCCTGTAACGCCCGCCGCGGGGTCTGTCTTTTTCCAGACTGATCCGACCAGCAAGATTTTGGTCACGAGATGATTCACCTGGACCAGCGTGCGCCACCCGCTATGACACCAGCATCTGCCGGCACTCGACGTCCAGGATGAGATGACCTCACGGAACTAATCAGCCCCCTCACGTCCCCTCCCCAAATCCCATCATACCGCCGTACCAGGCACCGGTGGCTTCCGTGCATGGCAACCTGACCACACGTCATCAGTCTATTCGTAAGCTCCACGCCGCTAGCGAGCCTAAAGTGCCGCTAACGGGTGCTGACTGCCGATCTCACGGCACTTTCCACCGAGATCGTGATCTCCCCTCGGGGCGGAGATTCTCTCACTGAACCGGAGATCGTTCCAGAGATTCCACTGATGGCGAAGGGCGCCCGTGGAGCGGCACTGACCTTCGAGATCTACCGGGACAGTGTCAGGGTCTCTCAGGTCGGTGTCAGGCTCCCGGGTTCGCTCGGATTGTCCGACACGGCTCATAGCTCGGCCCAGATCTGACGCTGGATGACGGTAATCTATGTGTAGGTGTGGGTTGCCACAAGTCGGCACGGACGGATCAGAGGAGCTCAGACGCGATTGTTGCGTGTTGACAGCGCAAATATTTGCCTGCCGCCTCGTTTCGTAAGGCGGCGCGTGACAATGCCGGCCGAGATGTTGGAATCGGGGCTGGAACGTGTGAAGTGTCCTCATGACCTTCCTTCCGATGGTATAGACACCGCATTAGCGGCAAGGTGCCAGATTTGGCTCAAAGAGTCGGAGCGTAAAGTTGTCAGGCTAAGCCAGTTAGTTAGTAACCTGGCACTAGGTTTTCTGGACGTGTTGATTGGATGAGTCATCACTGATATTTATATGTAGGTATTTCAAATTAAACGCACCAAACTAGTTACATTACATTCCTAACTCCCAAATCCGTTGGTCTGAAACAACCAACAGAGATGTGCATTGTGCATTCCATTTCAGTTCACAAATAAGTGCCGTTCACCCCGTGAGGACTCACCTGGTGAGATGCAGGTCCTCTCGCAGTTGACCTGACAGCAGACCTTGTCTCCGGGACAGTCATCGTCTCCTTCACAGAGCAGCCGGAGCTCAGAGCATTCGCCCGTCTCTGTTACCGGGCAGCCACCTGGCTTGGTGCGCCCTGAGAAAACAAAAAATAAGATGAGTTATTTGTATTTATAATAAATCACATATCGCCGATTCAAATATACCTACCAGAGGCCTCTTGCACCAAAATCCTCTTGCACCAATGCTTGGATTATTTTGCATCGTATACCCAGTCCAAGCCTCAAATGTAACAATTTGCGTGCAAAATTTAGCAAGCTCATGTAGGATTATGTACTGGGCTATTGCAAACAAATTTACCAACGTTAGGTTAGCTTATTCTGAAACCGGTTTTTCGATTTTACCTAGCTAGGTAGTTTGGTGCAAGAGGCCTCAGTACTTTTAATTTGGTTTGGAGGACAAGTGTCATATGAGTGAAGACGAAGATTTGCGAATAGAGTCTCGTCAAAATCGAGAAGCCCTCAACCCTGTAAAACTCAAAAGAACATTTGAAGACTTACGGTTAGCACTCAGTAGTAGGCAATGCAATTTCAATGTGTCAATAAAACGACAGCCTCTCTAAAAATGGGCAAACATAAAGCAAAGTCCTTAAATTTTGAAATGTAAGTAAGCATTGTGTGAGACGCTATAATAGCTATCGATTTCCTTGACGAAGAAGATGTTCAACTCCGCCAATGGAGCTTCTACAGGGGATCGTAAAGCCCGGCCGGGAGAGCTGAGCAAAACCGCAGATCCGAAAGGCTGTCATCCGAGGTATCCCAGTTGAAATGTCTTATGATTAATATCTTTCGGGAAAAAATTGGCTTCAGAAGTGATAAATCAATCACGAACGGGATATGGGGATTGGGCGGGACAAAAAGTATCACGGTGAACGATGAGGACATTTTCTCCGCGTTCTAAAAACACGCGACAAAGAAAATCACACCATTTCCAATGATTGGTTGTCCAATTTTCTCCCGAAAGGTGTGCGTTATATAAGAAATGGTTAACGAAAAAGGTCGAAACAATAAATTCTCGTAAAGGCGGATACTTGCGGTCAGCGCACGATTGCTGGAGTCAAAGATAAATAATGTTCAACAGGTGTTCTTGGATTATCGTCACCTTGTATAAGACATAAGGAGGACAAGGAGAAGCACAATTAATACATACTTTACGGTGCGTTCACTGCAGATTAAACGTGCGTTAATTCGAAGGTAGCCGTGCACCAATTTAAATTGGTGCACGCGCGTGCAGTGATGACTTTCTCGACTGAAGTTTTTCGGAAGGGTCATTGACTTTATTCTAAGATTTCCCATAAAGGGCCCTTTTTAGTGGCATGGACTAGGTTTAATTTTCATTTAAATTCGCACCGTTAAGCATGTATTAATTAGTTTAACACATGGTTTCCGTGCATAAATGGTTTTAACGCACTCGTGGATGGAATGGAGCACTTGTGCGTTAATGCACTCGTTTCACTCGTGCATTAACACACTCGTGCTCCAATCCATCCACGTCGTGCGTTAAAACCATTTACACACGGGAAACCATGTGTTAATATATATTAATTGTCGCGATTAAGACGTCACTGTAATTTTAAACGTCTTAAAGCTGCCTCAAATCTGCCCATGTAAAATATATGAGACACATAATAATGTTCAACAGCGACAAATCTTGTCTCTTTTCTTTCTCACTTTCCTGCAAAATATCTGGTGACTGCTGACTTGCATAACCAGATTATTCCAAAGGAAATGAACAGGAAGGTAAGATCTAGGCATACATTTATGGCGGGGTTTTGTTTTCCATGAATGGACACGAGGAAAAATGAGCATATGAAAGCATGTGCAGCTTAACATCTCGAGAGCAAAGGATGTATTGCTTAGCTTTAGCACACCACACATAACTCAACAACACTACTGTTATGGGTAAGAGCTATTTAAGCACACTAGTGCATCTCGCACCGGCATTTGACGACGCGATTAACAACGGCTCTAGCACAACCAGAAAATACTCTTATTTTTAAAGTTCTGAGTCATTAAACACCTGCCTACGTGAGCCATTACAGTAAATTGGACGCAGCAACAGCGTAATGCAGTGTTCGTGGGACTTACATGACCCAAAGCGCTACTATCCCGCGAAATGACGCAGTCGTGACTCCACGTGCAGAAGGTACTTGGTCCCTACCCCTGCACGCATCTCCGCCCATGGAGAAGGGCCTGCAAACACTCCTCGTAAAGAGCTTGATTGAAAATAACTTAGAAGGTCATATAATATGAGTCGACAAATATAACTGCGATGGTGAAACGACATATCATTCCGAAGAGTTGATGCTCATTGAATATGTTAGGAAGCAGCCTATGCGAAACGCTCATCATGCAAAATAAAACTCAATTATATGCAGGCTTAATTGTTACAACAGCATCATTGCGCCACTTAGGTGTCCGTTATTCACAATTCATCCAGTCCGTTACAGCTTCCCTTCGACTGCCGACTGCCTCTATTTGACATCACTGGATCTACGATGGGCCCACCCGCCCGTCTCAGATCTACCGTGAGCCATCCCCTAACGGACTACAGGGCAGAAATCCGCTAGGCCGGCGCCACGTTCCAGCCACCGAGTGCTGCACTGCACAATCAGGATCGAGTGATAACACTGCCCCGTGTCAACAGACCACAGAAGGCAAATCTGACACCTTCTTGACGGATGGATCCGGCAGGCGCCTCGCGCTGCGGTCGGTGCTCTGCCCGAGCGGCCAGTGACGTCACTACTCCTCTCCCTCCGCTCTCGCCAAAGAGTGAGAGTGACCAGCACGACCTGGTGACATCCAAAACTCGTCGGTTGGCTCGACTGGCATGCGGGTCATTGTGAATCACATGTGGCTCGTGCCAGTCTCACGCGCGGAGAGATTCGCCGCGAACCGCCTGACGCCACGCCGGCCGGCGCTGAAGAATTGTGCTGCATGTGGAAAGCTGTCTAAAGGAATGCTGCAGTGCAGCATTGCTCTATTGACGCATAAGGAAGACGATGTTGTCGAGATGGATCGTAAAACACCGTTTCTCATGTCGTAAAGATACAAAATGGTGAACATTTCAGAAACTTCATAACGCATTGAGGCTTATGTATAGTTTCCAATAGCTCGACGCACATATGCGAGTGCGCAGCCCTTCGACACACCTGTCTGTGGGTGCCAGCTGCATGATTCAGCAGGATTCATTGGCGCAAAGCTGACAGGAGACTTTGAGCTAAGCTAACAGCCCTGACTCCTAATCCTTGTTATGGGCAGTCCGCTGCCCAAGTGGCCACCGCACGCACCGCCACCGGCTTTAGTTGTCGCCGCTATTTGCCGTGGGCGATACAAGCCAGCCAAACTGTCCGGCAATCGGGTACAATTACCACCGTGATGCGAGTTGCAGCCGGCTCAGTGCATCTGCGTCATTAAAGCGCTGATTAACACGATTTTCAGACCATCTGACAGAGCATATTAGAGTCGCCGATTATACCGTGGACGGGTCAGGGTGCTTAGCAAGGTCGCGGCTCTAGGGCCGCACGGGACGGGTACCTACTCTACGACCAGCAGCCCAGCAGAAGTCTGCAGTATTGCGCAAATTAATGTTAAATATTCCTTTGAGGGTGGTTAGGTATTACTTATTATCGAGGAAAGTCTATTTAGATTTCACTGTCACACGCTTATAACAGAAGGCACATTCTGTATGGTCCTGTTATCGGTCGATAAATAAAGCATATGCCCCTCCGATACCAACGAGCGTAGCTACAAATGTAATTCACAATATATCCTCAGACCTCAAATAACAGCCCTTCAAGTGGTTTCAGAATGATGACTATATATGATAATATCCTACGAGCTAAATAGTCATATTAATATCTCAAACGTTTACGATATCTACCTAAAATATCATTTACCTGCCTGTTTTACAACAGACGTTTTTTGCCGTATTCACATAGTACAATTTTATGATGTAAAAGTAAGAGCAACGATGCTCGTATGCTGCAAAGTACTCGTATGCTGCAACGATCAATACAGTTGGAGTGAACTCCACCATTTCGTCATTCTGAGCTAAAAAACACCACACTCCATTCTATTACTCCATAACAACGCGGGACATGCATATTCATATCCATGTGGCTCCAGCATAGCCATGACCTAACGGAAATCATTTACTCAAGCATGTGAAATCACGGTAAGATTCGCCATATCAAGCCGTAAAACGTTTCAATGCATCGCGTTCGAATCTCGTTCCGAGCGGTCACGGCATTTTGACCGATAAATGTGCGCTAGCACAGCCCGTGACCCGCTGACCTGACCTGACCTACAGACGCTTGGGCGGAGTATGTTAAGATTTAGTTAGGTCTCGCCGAGTACGCACAAATCGTGACGTTCTGAGCGGCAATCGTGTGCAGTTCTGTCGCCAAGCACAAAATGAGTTATCGACGGTCAATTAAAAGGATGAACATAGATGTTGATGTCCGATTTTATCGTCAGGTCTCAAGCATCCGCAATTTCAGTGAGTTATCCATTAAGCGTTCTCAGTAGAACGTGTGTTCTGAAGATAACGACTTTCAAAAGCACCACTTCGTGTTCGGTAACTTACCGAAACAAGCATTGTCATCAAACTGCCGTTAAACTTATCATAGCAGAACATGTGCAACAATCGATTCGACATGTTTATCATCCAGGTAAATCAGCTAACGCTATGACAAGGCGATGCCATCGTGATGACAAATTGTGTATTATCAACTTCACCCAACGTAATGCTCCGGTTACACACAGTAAATGGATAACCTTGAATCATGCTCTGCAAGTAGATTGCAGGGACACCGGATGACCATTTTAATTGTTAAGTAGCGTTTAGAAAGCACAGGAAGGAAAGGGCGACCCCAACTGCCCGCTGGGGCCACGAGAAAGTCGTCCTTGCACCCGCTCCGTATGGTGAATAGGCAGTCGACATGAGCCCATACATCACATGGCTGGGTCAAGGCAGCCTACTGTGCCATGGCATTGTCATGGTGGTCTGGCCATTGTCACCCTGACTTTAGGGGATCATCTAGAAAACCTGCCATTTTATGAATCAGCACAAATGCGCTAACGCTGGTGGCCTCTATAGAATATCCTTTCATTCATTTAAGGCCGTTAGCAAATAAGGAAATAAATACACGCTCTCCTAAAACTCAGCGAAACATACCGCACATACATAGAAATAAGCTCCCAACGTAATAATTAGATTAGGTAAATTGTGAAACACAGTGATCAAGGTCGTATGTGACCGAAAGCTTTGTGTATTTAAAAGTAATTTTAAAATAAATATCGGTTGGTAATCTTGAGTTTCTTGAGTTGTCGTTATCCAAATGCCTACTAAACTGGTCATCATTCCGCAAACACTTAGCCCTGATAAACGGTAGCCCTAATGAAACGACATGCGAGTCGTGCTCGTACAACTTTTGTCACAACAAAGGTGTTGTGAACATGAATTCCCACACATTAACACCCGCCAGACACATGCAGGCTTTGTGTAACAGCCGAGAGGGACACGAAGGTAGGGACTCGTGTTTATATGCTAACCGCCTATTGTCCTGGTCGAGACAAGCGGTTTGATGGAGAAAGGATCATGATACAGTAGCGGCGGAACACCTTCAATTAAGGGGGGCGCTGCCGACTTTTGGTCCCATTCTTTCCATGTGACGCCCATAGGGGTAATGTTAAAATGCTAAAATCAAAGGGGGCACGGTGCCCCGGTGCCCTCCCCGTTCTGCCGCCTATGCCATGGTAAACATTGAAGTACTCACATCTGATATTTTGGAAATTGGAACAAATATGATAAAGCATGATGATTGCTTCTAACAAAGGTCCACTTTACTCGATGCTGTGTATTACTTATCATGAACATAATTGCGAATACTTAATCGCCCATGAACAAATATGTGGTTTTGAGTAACGTCTGTCGCACGTTGATATTGAAAGGTGCGAATGTTTTCTTTAAAAAGGGAATGAGTCAATAGCCGCGTTTACATAGGGTTAGTTTCCAGATAGTGGAATTCCGATACCGAGACATTTATTCCACTAACGACTTAACGAGACATTTCAGGCACATTCCGCTGGTTCTGACGACTTATGCGGCCTTCTGGCCGGATAGGTCGTCAGAACTAGCGGATTGTGCCTGAAATGTCTCGTTAGTGGAATAAATGTCTCGGTATCGGAATTCCACTATCTGGCAACTAGCCCTATGTAAACGCGGCTAATAAGAGAGGTTCCAGACGGGACATAACTCCGCAGTTAAATAGCTCATCTTATGCCTTTTGCCCTTTATCTCCCCATTTCTGTCTTATTCCGATGCATCTTCGCTGCCGGTGTCACCTCACCTATGCAGTCGGGCTGGCCCGAGTCGACTCTGACGATGCACGTGGCGTTTCCCGGGCAGAGTTGTTCGGCGCACGGAAGAGCCAGCGGCGAATCCGGCGCACCGACGACGGTCGTCGGCGCCGACGCGACAAACAGCGTCAGGAGAACGCCGACCGCCGCGCGCCGCAGCTCGCCTCTGCGGCAGGAGCGGCGCGGCGGTCCCGTATCTGCCACCATTGCGGCGCGGCGCGGCGGGCGTGAGTCGCGGCGCGTGGGTTGGGTCGGGGATGTCTCCGGCGCCGAGTGCTGAGAGTGCTGAGCTCTGAGCCGGATCCGCGGAGCTGCCGGCGCACTCCTCTCGCTCCCAGAGACGGGCACCGTTTGAGCCCCCCGAGCGTCGCCGCTCCGTCCCCGGCTTACGGCAGACGAGGCCTTGGCGGGCCCCGCCGGTCGGCCCGGGGCGACCAGGGGATCACGGGCTCTAGGGGAGTGCTGCAGGGTTCAGCAGTGACATTAAACCGCGTAACGAGGGGGATCGACCCGCCATCGGCAATTGATGGCTTCATCAGGGAGACTCGGCTCAGGCTAGATGTTAAGTGGGATCTTTTCAGATCTATCCACTTTGCGAAGGCGGTCAGGTTTGGCAATCACTTTATATTTGGATTGTATCAACAGAACAGGCGTATGAATATGTGTCACCAATGACTTATTTTTTTTCAAGTTTGACATGCTCTAAATAATATATAAATAAATACAACTTAAGTTGGCTGCAATTTTTTCCCACCTGTAAACATCAGATAGTAGCAGAGGAAACATATTACTTGACCTTTTTTCTTGTCATGATAATGAAGATAATTTAGGTTGATTGTGAATCGATTTCAAATGTATCTCTAGGTACATACATATCACTATCTGCAGTAAAACAGGCATTTCTTATTCCCAAAATGCCATCAGATTATTATTAGGTAATTCTTTTTGTCAAGTACCGTTCTGATCAATACCGACGTCAATGAAAACGCATTGTCGAATAATGAATTATTCCGTACTTCATGATATCCAACTAAACAAAAAATACATCACAGAAAGCAAACGCTTAATGAAACATTTTTTTTTTTTCAAATGGCATGCAAGCAAGAGCAATTTTCTGTATAGGGCAAATATTAAAACATATCCATTAAAAAGAAGTACAACTTTTTACCACTAGCATTCATGCCTAACGTACTTATCGCAGTCCAGGTAACTCCCAGATGTTAAAAAATGCACGATAATGGATCTGGAGGAAAAACTTCAGGACTGCTCAATTTCTAAAACGTCTAAGACGTCAGCTTTAAAAGGTGCTACATTTGCACCTGTGCTGGGAACATTTCTTTTTCAAAGAACCATTAATATAGATCAAGCTCAAATCGACCCAGCTGTACAGCCATCGCGAGTAACTAAACGTACAGATGGCCGAAGCCTGATTCTTAGAACATAATTCTCCCGTCGTGTTTCACATTTCTGAGAAAAATATTATGCTTTGCGGTGCGTGATGACACTGATCACTGTGTATTTCAACTCTTTCGATATCACGAGAACATTCCACAAGGTTAAGGAGGCATCAATGCCAGATTTAATTAATACTCGGCTATCTGAAAGCACATAAAACCAAAGTGGGAATAGGCCAGCTTGATATATAATGTAGTACAAGTACCTACATAGGTATGATATGCGGTGCTTGGTAAAGGCAGTTTTGTGACGTTAACTCATGCCATGCTGGGGGGGGGGAGGGTTGAACATCCCTTCATTTTTTTGGTACAACTTATCATACATCTTTTCTGCACATGTTGGAAAATTTCAGACCAAGGTCACTCAAGGTCAGGTCGCCAGGTCACTTTAAGTGACCTTACATCATAAAAAAGTTCCAATGTTTGCCATAGCTACACCGACTGACTGATTTGAAACTTTCAGCAATTGATAAGAGCAACAGTATGCACAAAGGGTTTATCTCGGAATTTTGATAGCGGTGAACTAAGGTCAGGTTAATTTTGCGACATCCCACAATTTCAAGTCATCGGAAGAAAATTGATGATGTGTTCAGCTCAACCTTACGGATCGACTGATATGCAACATGAACTTTTTCGGTCAGGTCATAACCTTGACCTGAGGTCAAAGTTTCAAGTTGACCTTTCAAGGTCAACTTATAGTTTATTCGATGCGTCTTGACGAAAGGAACACGATGCTGTGGTAACATTGAGCTCGTGCAAGATTTGAGTCAAACGTTATTGCAAGGAACTGTTTCCGCAAAAACCGTCTATTTCGAGTTGTTTGCCACCCTTCAGACAAAAACGTTGACCTTGCGTTAACGGTTCCTCAGAAAATACTCAGAAAGAGCGTTAATAGGGCTATCAAATGCGCTTTTTCCGGGGTGCTGTCCTATGATGTCCTACGATAAAGAGAGAACGTTGTTGGAAAGAACGGTCAATTTCGGTTCGTTACGCGCCGCGCGCGGACACTGGGCCGGCTGGATCACACTAGCGCCGCCTATCGGTAAATTACGGCTACGGTACGCAACTACCGAACCATTTGTTACATTTAGGCGGAAATTGCACAAACTGGACCAAAACTTGATAATGCACCACCAGGGCAAAAAACTACAAGGAATTGCGCGTTTGTTGATGCCTCATTCGACTATTTTGATGCATTTTTAGATGCGTCATTTTCGACCTCAAAAATGCGCATTTTGTAAAAAAAAATCATGCAATCTGACATTTGTATGCATATAACAGATTAGCAGTGTCCAAACTTGAAAATGCACCACCAGTACGATGACTTCAATGAACTGCGCGTTTGTTGATGCGTCATTCAACTATTTTGATGCATTTTTAGATGCGTCATTTTCGATCTCAACAATTTGACAAGTCGTAAAAAGCATGCAATCTAACATTTATATGCCAATAACATACTAACAGTACTCAAACTTGAAAATGCACCACCAGTGCAGATAACTACAATGAATTGCGCGTTTGTTGATGCCTCATTCAACTATTTTGATGCATTTTTGATGCGTCATTTTCGACCTAAAAATGCGCACTGTGTAAACAAAAATCATGCATTCTGACATTTGTATGCAAATAACAGATTAGCAGTGCCCAAACTTGAAAATGCACCACCAATGCTGAATACTACAAGGCATCGCGCGTTTTTTATGCCTAGTTCACCTATTTTGATGCATTTTTAGATCCGTCATTTTCGACCTCAACAATTTGACAAGTCGTAAAAATCATGCAATCTGACAATTATATTTATGATCAAATTAGGTGGCTGAACAGGAGTGGGTTAGACAGTTAAAAGGAACAGTAAAACCAATGACTGGGGTGGGGGGTGATGAAAGTTGGTGGAGCAAAAATAAATGTTGGTGTAGCAAATACCAATATTGGTGGGGCGGCTATCCAACCAACTGTATACGAAACCCTGTCCCTGTACATTAGGTTAGGTCGTTAGTTTAAAAAAAAACTAACAAAGAAATTATCAAATTTAGAACAAGCACTCCAAAATCCTGCAAGCAACAGCAACAAGAACGAACCTGTCACCAACCCTCTTGTTCCTAATAACACCCAATCCTAATACACACATTGGCAAAATAAATGACTATAAGGTAATCAGACTAAAAAACAGTATGTCAAATTAGTTTGCTTAGAAGCTCAAAAAAATGTTTAAAATCCTGCTAAGATTTAAGTAAATAGGTAGGTAGATCAGTGGCTGCGGATTGGCCTCGGAGTTGGGGTGGGGGGGGGGGGGCAAAGCTGGTTTTCAAGTCCATTCTTTCCATGCAACGCCCATAGGCCTAATGTTAAATTTTGCCAGACGTGACGGGGGGCAACTGCCCCCCTGCCCCCCGAATCCGCCGCCACTGAGGTAGATACCTCTCTAGCTGACATATCATTGCCTTGCCTACATAGGTAGGTAATGCTTACCTTTCAGTCATCTTGATATTTCAGTCTTAGCACGGTTGATCTTCCAAGGAAAAGGCGTGAAAGTAACCAGGCAGACACGTACTGACAATTTATCAAAAGAATATATTATTTTAAAGCAACAACCTAACCCAACAGTAAATGTGTTGTGATCAAGGCCCTAGAATACGTTGTGTTAGCCTTGTACGCATAATTGGTGAAAAGCGGGAAATTAAAAGGTAACAAGTGCGCCAGATCTGCCGACAGTAAATCTCATTTTTGAAGGTCTTGAGTACTTCTTTTAATGCGGTCCCCCACCAATGTCCTACAAACTGTACTGGCTGGTCCGTAACGTTTAGAAGGCAACCTACTACACATTTCAGACCCTCTGGAACAGTCCTTTTTGGCTTTTTCTCGTTACCTATGCGCTTAATTGCAACCAAACTTTGACACAATGAGTTTCAAGGGCCTACCTAATTTTTACTAATATGGTCTTTTAACAAAATGTCAAAATGAAAGGCACTTGTCATTGACTTGTAATGGTAAAAATTGATCGGAAAACTCTGCGCCGTGGTAGAGGCTAGCACGGCGTAGCAGCGTCAGCTGTTGCGCCGCAGCTAAGCTCCGCCCACTGCGCCGCGACACCGGGACCGGTCATTCGCCGCTCGGGGTCAGAGCGGTGCGAAGCTCTGACGGACTGGAACGAGACACACGCTAACGCAGGTATCCTTGCGTGAATATATGTCGTATCTCGCGCGGAGAGAATAAGGATGAAGAATGCAATGCAAATCGGTGTATGTATAAAACGATAAGCACTCCTTCTAGCTACATAATGTTATTCCCTACAGACTTTAAATAATTTTATTTTCAGTAATTTATAGCGAGCCTCTCCGCAGCCGCCTTCCGTAGGCTATTGTGCATTTATAAGGAGTAACAGGACAGAATTTATCGGACTGTCTTTGCATTCAACGGCCTTATTTAATTGAGGATATCCACATATGTATTGGAAAGTATTTCGTTTTTTTAATTTAAAAGAATAAAGTTTTATTATTTTTTGGTGAAAATAATAGGTAAATCTTTCCATGATAGTTCCACAATACTTTAAAGGTAGTGTGCCAGCTTTCCTGGACCGTATGGAGTTAATGGCCCACCTAAGGAGAACCGGATTTTAGAACTTATCCATACCTTCAAAACTCATGGAAACGTCTTAAATTCTTCAAATTTTGAGTACCCCAGTGCGAAATCCGCCCCGACGGGTTGTCGGTCGTACCCCAACCACATTTCAGGCACCATTATGAACAATAAATGCACACACTGAAATCGCTATTACCGATATGCTCATCCAATCAAGTTTCGATAAACCCGTTCATCATCATCTCCTGAGGTTTCGAACACGCCTGTTAGGTGGTGCGGTAGACCGCGCCCAAAGCCAGGGCCCCGGTAACGTGAGGTAGCCGAGTCGGGGCAGCGTGCGCTGACCCAAGCTGAAGCCGGGACCGCGCGTCCTCCCGGTGTCGTGTGATAGCCCGGGGCTGCCCGCGGGGATGCGGTAGACCGCGCCCAAAGCTGCGGCCCCGGCTTGGGTCAGCGCACGCTGCCCCGACTCGGCTACCTCGCGTTACCGGGGCCCTGGCTTTGGGCGCGGCTTCTGCCCATACTTTGTGGTGCGGTCGGTGGTGGTGCGTCGGGCCGCGCGCTCTGACTTCGGCCAAGAAAAATGCGTCAGCTGATCATTGTCATTTCTGCCACTTGCGTGTGGTGAAATGGGGTCATAACTTAAGAGACGGCTTTTTCATATCAATTATTTTACATAAAATCATATTTCAAACCATAAATAATGTTCGACAGCCAAATAAAAGAAACAATACCAATACAGGCTTACAGTTTAAGGCTCGACATTGTGTTGTCTACGATTAGACAGCTGATAACTCATTCCCGTACGTCGTAATTCTATAATGACCTTTGCTTATTGTCACATGTGCGCCGCATTCGCGATTGTTGCCGACGTCTGTTTGCAGGTCAGCCCACTACAGTTGTTATACATATCGAAAAACCGATAAGCTTTTAGGCGAAAAAGGCACTATTCCAGGCCCATTTTTGATTTTTTTGCGATATTAGGTAAAAACAGAAGCTTCTTATCCTAGGAAAAATAAAATGGGAAATCTTTCAAAGGTGGCACACTACCTTTAACAATATTGTTGATAGATCTTAGGCCCGAAAAACAATAAAACAGGGAACGATATAGAATGACTCAATCTGAAAATGTAGATATGCAATATCGAGAGTTAATGATCTCCCTTCCTTCACTCCCCCTTGTCAGTCTCTCGTCTATAGGTTTATAGTCTATTGTCTCTCGTCTATAGCCCAATCTCTATCTTCGTCACTTGTCTCTGGTCTACCATCTTTAAGTCTGTCTTTCGTCTACCGTCTTTGTCTCCTGTCTCTGCTCTAGCGTTTATGCGTCTAACGTCTAGCATATTGTTTGTTGTCCACTACCCAACGTTTACCGGGCGTTCGTCTCATGGTCACTTTGTCTCCTCTTCCTTTCTCTTTCTTCCTCCGTCCTTATTTGTCGTAGAACAACTTATTAAAAGTCCATGACATGCAAGCAAGTGCTCCGACTTCTCTGTGCTGCCCGCGCGGCCCGCACGCCGGCCGGCCAGACTGCGACTGCCGCCGACATGACCCGAGGCTGGACCGCAAGTGGGCGGAGCCAAGCCGCAGTGTGCTAGTGCGTCACGACCAATCAGAGGGGAGACAGCGCCCAGCCTGTGACAGCCTCTAAGCAGGGCTGTGACGACCTTAACATTACCAGTCAATGACAAGTGCCTTTATTTTTCATTTTTTGTTAATAGACCATATTGATGAAAATTAGGTAGGGAACTCAAACTACCAATGCCAAAGTTTGGTTAAAATCAAACGTATATACAACGGGAAATAGCCGAAAAGGACTGTTCCACAGGGTCTGAAACGCATAGTAGTGTGGCTCTGAATGAATACATATTACACCGAGAACGATCAGAACAAAATGCATTGCGAGATCGGGTGAAACACGGCGACGCGTCGCCGACGGTGGTAAACGCGGGACAGCCGCTTCCGGTCTTGCGAAATATTCCCCTTGTAGTGTCAGCCATGTTTATTAACCCTCACCCCGTTGAGGGGGGAATATGCTCCCCCCTGCGGTTTTCCTGACGCAGCGCCGCTAAATTTTCAGTACCTTCCCGGGAATCAATTTGACACCTTCACACAAAATTTCAACTCTTAGGTCACCTTAAGTCAGAAGTTATTGAGGTCAAACTTAGGTAATGTTCAAGCAAAAACGAGCAAAAAACATGAAATCTTGAAATGCTCACAAAAGCTACAGTTGACAAGCAACTTCAAGTTAATGTGGTCGCGTAGAGGAAAGACGGCGCTACAAAACTGTTATCTCAGATTTTCAAAATTTTGGGATTTTGACCCCAAAAAAATAAAGAGATGATTTATTTTTTAGGTCACAATAGGTCACTGAGGTCACCCTCAGTGACCATAGCTATGTGACCTGCCTGACCTGGTATCAATGACCTCAAATAGCAAAATATGTGTTTTACGGACCATTACCCCATCGGTGATTTTCAATAACATGCCTTTTACTCGATTTTACAACACATTTCTTGAAATGCCTGTGAACGGTGAAAATTCGACCTTTGGCCTGACCTGCGAGGTCATCGGTTGGACCGAGGTCAATGAAATTGGGTCACAAGGTAGTTCCGTGATAGGGCTATCCAACACCGTTTGAATTTTGAAAATCGGCCAGTGACTTTCCGAGATATTAGAGGGGGCCGAAACGCCCCCCCCCCCCCTACGGGTGGTAGGGTTCGCCGATAGCCCCACGGGCGCGGGAAAATACCAATATTGGAGTGGTCAAAATATTAGTTGAACTACATTCAACTATAGTTCACGCATTCAATCTTCAATTCTTATAATAAAAATTCACGTGCGAAGAATGAATAAACGCACGTGAACTCTAATATGCAGTCAGATGTGAAGAAATTTCAACCATATCCCATACCGCTAAATGTTTCACCGAGACTTTGGTATTGAGTTGTGCTTTTCACAATGCTGGCCGTGTTGTGCAAGTTATGTAACAAAATTGCGGCCTATCTGGATGAAATTTGATTGTTCTTTCTAATGAGCGGCTTTCAAAAGCTGTAGGATGCACGGTTGCAGAGATAAAGTCAATCTTAGTTGGGACCGGTGGGCTCACTTTTTTATCACCCTCGGTATTTTACCATTGATGGCGGGCGTTGATGGCGTTGTAGTGAAGGGATTAAATAAAAGAATATCCGTTCTATCCAATTGTTATATTGGTTCACAGTCCTTGGTCGTAGCTATGTCTCAACTCTCTGCTAGAGCTTATTTCTCACAAAATCCATTAACAGGGATAAGAAACAGCAAAAACTCCCTTTTTCAAACGATTCCTCTCAATCAAACTGGCGTAAGCTGACAAGGTTACAAAAATATATCAACATCTTTTTGTAAAATACACTTTGGATCGGGGTCAATCAATGAATGATTACAATAACCAGGACATCAGTTGACTGCTGCAAAGGAAAAGAAATGTTGCAGCCAACCCGGATCCGATCGTCAAATCAACAAAACAAGATTTATCAATCACGAGGAAAATAGACGAACGGAATAAAAAGTAGGAGTTCATTTTTAATGGTTTTAAAGGGACTATTCCACCTTCTAAAATGTTGTTAAAACCAGTTAAATTGTGCCCGACTTTATAGATTGGATGACCAGGAACACGGTTCTGGCATTTATTTTTCATTAAACATCTTAGGCTTCCCATATTCCAAACACAAACTTTCAAATATGTGACGTCACAGCCCAAAATTACCTCCTTCCCCAGGCCACATTACTGTCATAAAGCTGATTCTTTTTACTCTGTAGGCACCACAACAAAGTTCAGACCAAGTTTTAAGCGATTTTTCAACGAACAAACCCATTCAAATCAGAATGACTAAACGAGGTGACGTCACACTAACGGTCGCTCCATGTTGAAGATAGGGCCTTGTACAAGGCCCATTTTCAAATGAAGGGAACGAATTTCTTCAACACCAAGAGGCCGCGGGGGTTGCAACCTAGATAGATAGTGGTTTCTGAACCTCGCCGCAAACTTGGCTATCTCAACTCAAACCCCATGTTAAAGGTGGGATAGTCCCTTTAACGGTTTTAACCTTTAACATTAAGAATGGCGCATGCAGGAGAATATCTTCCGTCAGCTTCCAGACAAACGATACGTCATAACATCATTTTTATTATGGCCCAGAAGTCATATGTCATATATTCGATAGTAATGAGCGGATGAAATCACTTCAACTGTTTTCCATGCGCCTTAGTAGTTAGGTACATAAATGCATAGCGGAACTTTCAACACTCGTGATGAGGATGACTGATTCCATCCTTGTATTTCCTCTCCAATTTCAACTAATCTTAAGAACATTTTTAATAAGAAGTCTCAACTGCAAAAAAAACATTGGGATGACTTTCGGCTGAATTTAATATCAACTCGCGTCCTAATTGGGGGGGGGGGGTATTTTGCCTCCCCCCTGGTTCTTCTTGAATAGCGAATAAACGGTGGCGCGCAGCTCCGCCAAATTTTCAATACCTACCTTCCGAGACATGAATTTGACACATTCACACAAAATTTCAAGTCATAGGTCACCTTAGGTCAGGAGTTAGGTATTGAGGTCAAACTGAGGTCATGTTCGAGCAAAAATCAGCTAAAATCATTAAATCTTGAAACGCTCACAAATGCTACAGTTAACAAGCAATTGCAAAGTTCTTTATGTGGTCGTTTAGAAAAAAACGGCGCCACAAAACTGCTTTCTAGGAATTTCAAAATTTTGTGATTTTGATCCCCAAAATACAAAGTTTTTTTTATAAAATATCAAAATAATCCCAAAAGTTCTACAACTTTTGAAAAACGGTATTTGTATGTCCCTACCCTCTTCCATCCACATACCAAATTTTAGATCGATACCTCCTTTTTTGGCCAATTTATAGCCAAAAAACCTGCTTAAATTTGATGATGTCAAATTATCAAACACAATGTTTTGCAATTCTAGACCACCTAGGGCAAAACAAAGACCAATATTAGACTCCCCGTGACGAGCCGCATCGAACCCATTTTATGCAAAAACATCAAGTTTGAAATTTGACCTAATTTGAACTGACCTTGAATTGACCTTCACCAGAACATAACCTGGCCCTAAAGGTTGCCTGACCCATATTATCGCATTTGTCATGTAAAATGGACCATGCAACATGCATCACACACTTCCGTGTTGTGACCCACAGTGACCTGACCTCTGTGGCCTGACCTGGTATTAGTGACCTCAAATAGCAAAATATGTGTTTAACAGACAATTCCATGTCGATGCTTTTCAATAATATGCCTTTTTACTTGATTTACAACACACTTCTTGAAATGCCTGTAAACGGTGAAAATTCGACATTTGACCTGACCCGTGACGTCATCGGTTAGACCGAGGTTAATGAAATTGGGTCACAAGGTCACAAGGAAATTGGATAGCCCCCATCGGGGCTATCCAACACCGTTTGTTGCTTGTCTCTATGTTGTGTGGTTCTCGAGATTTTAGGCGGGGGGAGGCAAAATGTCCCCCCGCCCCCACCCCTATTAGGACGCATTGCTCGGCAGACACCATCAGGGCGCGGGTTAACCCACAGGGTCTTTACCAAAAAAAAAAAAAAACTCAGAAGACGCAACACCATATTGTATTGACAAAGTCATTCTAATAGAAGTGCAGTTTCTGTCGTTTATTAGATATAAGCAAAGCAATTCTTACTCACCTAAGGGTTACAAATGTCCCAGCTTTAACATGTTTCTCCACTGCACTGTTCGGTTTAACATCAATGAACCCTTGAAGAGAAACAGCAGCTTCGTCTAGTGGATCGTGATTTATCCGATTTCGTGAGGGATTGTTTGATGCACCCCACGGCTGGCTTTTAGCGTGTCTGATTGCAGACGAGATCGCGGCCAAGGATGTCTCGTTAAGTGAAATAATCGCATTTATATTATTACCCGGCAATTATATCGCCATATATGCCTCCCAGTTACGTGCATACGTCACTTGGACCAGCCCGGATCCATGCTTGAATAAACGAGACAAAACAAATCCCATGGAGAATGCGCCAGGGGATAAGCCGCACTTCGTGGCAGGAGTGGGTATAAAAATTGGCTAGACAGCGTCTCGATAGATGAAAAACTCTTGCTGCTGTCCGGATACTTTTACAGTATTTGTTATGGAGGTTACGCCTGACAGGGATAGAAGAAGCAACAATGACATACTCTGACAATGACCAAATGCAGGCATGCGGAGATGCTGAGATATCTACCGATAATTATTCTAACAGCCTATCTACTCGCAAGCAGATCACAGAATTTTCAACATATTAACCCATGACGACTTGTTTGGTAGGCAAAGCTTCTCATTTTCATACTAATTAATTAATTATATCCTGATTTTTATGATGAGCTTGCTAGTGACTATTGCATTAGACGTGGACTTCCCACTGTTAAGCGAAGTTGTGGTGGCGTCATCTACAGTCTACATCCATTGTTTTGAGTAATTTCCGCCAGAGGCGCTGGATCATCAACTTGACATACGAGCCAGCCGCTCCCGTGTCTAGCAGAGCACGCCTAGACGCTTCAAAATTAGATACGACCGGCTTCTCTCATTGCAGGAAATGCGCTAGTTTTTCCCGCGAAGCTCTAGCTTTATCAGGGGTCAAACGGCTGGGGTGATCCTATCGACATTCCCCCTATATGTTAGCGGTTGTATAAACATTAAACGTCATTACGGGTGAGGGGTAAAATAATCTGCATCACTGGCACTTGCTAAAAGGTGAGTTTTAGCTGCGTTCGTGATAAAACTTTGCAGCGTAAAGAGCATTCATAATCGTTTACATACATTTATTGCAAGCGAAAACTTTCCAGCAGCACCATTTTTCACACACAAATGACACAGTCCCACAATCACAGGGCACTTCACAGACCGCCCACCCTGCACAGTGCACACATCACAGTCGGTCCAGTCGAATCTCACAGAGAAAGTGCCGATCTCTGTCACACTCTGTATCATTCCAGCCCTCCAGACTATTCCTCGGTCCGTAAATATGAGCACAGTGCTCTCCTCGGAATGTGGGCTCACCCCGTCTCCAGTCCGTGTAGTCCAGAGGCGATCCGTCCACCCACCCCCAGCGCCGTCCTGGCAGCTGGATCAGACCGATCCACACGCGATCCGAGTCGTTGGCAGCCACCAGCTCTCTGACGAGTCCATGGGTAGCCGGGTGGACGGATCCCAGCCGCGCACGCCCGTCCAGCTGGGCGCAGTAGTGGTGCGCCTGAAGCCAGGTGGCCGTCTGAGGAGGGATGAAGAAACAGCTGCTTCCTTGCTGCCTCCAGCCGGGTGGACAGGACGGCGGTGGCGGCTGCAGCTTCCCCAGCAGCTCCTCCAGCTGCGTCTCCAGGCGCTCCACTGGACCGCAGAGTGAGCTGCGGGCCTCTGACACGCAGACCTGCGCCAGGCCGCTCACCAGATGAGAAGCCAGCCGGTCGGGGGCGGGGCTGCGGTCGGCGGTGGAGGCACCCGATAGCAGTGGCACGCCGAGAACAGAGAGGGCGAGCAACAGCAGCATGTCTTTGGCCGAGCGCATGATACGAGGTGACCTTTGTCGGCACGTCCGCCCACCAGACTGAGACAGAAATGTCTCTGCTGCTGCTCCTACATATGTATATCAAACGATTGTTTAGAGAAGCTGAGGTGCATGGAAAATCCTTTTGCGTCATTTAGGTGTCCATCGGGTAAATATTTGGAACTTTTCTAGTATCTACCATGTTTCAATTTCCACCCTCGTGACCCAATCTTGCCAATCTGCTCTTATTCATCGAGCTACGTTCTTATCCTCGGGAAAGAACTGCAGCCGTACAACACACCAAGTAACGAACAATCAATACAAGACAAGTACCTGATACCCTGTTAGTTAGAAATAAACACAGATTGCAGAAAGCTCTCCAGCACGCAATGGCAGCTGATACGGCCGGTTTTCTCGGCGTTCCCTCGTCAGGTATGAACAAAGCTACACCAGTATTGGTGTCCTGAGGCTTACCAATATCGCAGTAGCATGTCACGGTAGGCAGCAACTGGATAGGTGACTGCCTATTGAACTGACTCCATAATACGGCCTCACCCGAGACCCATTTCGTTTGTGCAACTTTTCAAGCGATTACTCACTACTTCGTCCAGTCCGTGCTTCGCCCTGAAAAAATGCATCTACTTCAATAACCAACGCTGCGCAGCAGCCGATAAATACCGACGTTTCAACATTTGTCCGGTATTTCTGAGCTACGGGAGGCGAAGCAGGTAAATCCCCTAGTATTTTCCAGATCAGGGGCGCCCAGGTAGCACACCTCCAATGGCGAGGGGAGGCCTCCCTGGGTCCAGGTGGTTAAATGGGTAGTGCCACAGGACTGGCTGGTGGTGAGCGGAACTTGGATCGGCGAGTGGGTGACGAGCGGCGGCGGAGGAGACAACGGCTGGTGAGGCAGCCTCAGAGACAACACCGAGGCAATCCGAGACGACACTGAGGTGGGTACGGGACACAAGGCGATAGGGATAGTGGTTTGCTTAAAAGTACTAACGCATCTAAGCAGTTGTGTCACTTCATATTTTGTCATCCGAACAACTGAACAACCGGAAATAAATTTCAAAACAGGAAAAATAGCTTTAAATTTCGGGTCAGGTAAAAAGACAAAAAGAAAGCCGCGTCCCATGCCAACGATTTGACATGGGTGATTCCTGTGCTGAAATTGAATGAATTATTTCTAAAGTCGAAAGTCCTTTCATAATGTCATATTCCGGCTACGTTACGGTAATCAGACTAGACAACGGACCCTGGACAAGACTAAAACATGCAATGTGTGAACGAGCCGAGATAGATTCATATGATTTTCAACTCCTCTTTTACAGGCAATATGAGGCCCAATGCGACTGTAATTTTTGTGCTACAGATCATGATGCTGGCTTTCGTTGTCGCCACCCCACCTAGAGGTATGTATTTGGTTTTTACGTCCATCTGGGTCATGTTATAAAGCCATATTTTATTGATGACATCTGCCATTTGGTGTAAACGGTCCGAGTCCACAAATCATCCACCAGGCTTACGAACACCCATCTCGATCGGGACCGTTCACCGTGACAGTTAAAATACTGATAAATTGGTGGTTTAGAGATTGAGATTAGAGTAAAACAATGAAATAGTCATTACATTACTTCACAACATTGAAATTCGAAAAAAACATTGATGTAATATGAAGTTATCATCAGCAATAGGTATGCAAAAAAGTATAAACATTTTATTGTCATGTTGTAGTTGGCATATATGGTACATTATCATCAACAAACCCTTCAATTATCCACTCTAACCATCTTAAATAAGCAACACAGTCCAAACTGTAAGAATTGGCGTCAATATTTATAAAGTGAGACCACAGGATATGTAAGTCGACGCCACTGGCCAGACAGCCACTATCCAGCCAGACGCCAATGCACCGTTTATAAATATCTGATATATATAGAGAACGACAGTTGCCGGGGGACTTGCTGTGCAATGCAGCACTGGCAGGTTTGAACGAAACTCAAATCTACTGGCTTCTTAACAACAACACAATGAAAAGTGAAAACCAGGCTGTGTTAGCTTTCCAGATGAAATTGCATTTCTAGTGCTAGATGGACTGTACATACATAATATTAGTGGTGTCAATCGGTTACCGAAAATTTCGGTTACCGAAAATATATGCTGACCGATTTGGTAATCGGTCGGTCAGGCCCCCCAAAAATCGGACACTTTCGGTCACCCTGCCAGTGAAACCATTTTCAAAAAGAGAAAGTATTCCATTTTTGCCTAGTTAAAATGAAATTTATTGGGATGTTAATGATAGAGTTGCAAAATTTCCCCCAAATGTCAAATGCCACATTTTGGCAACTTCATTAGCCATCCCACCCAGCAGGCAGCAGCCACCCATTGTCCAACCACAACTACAAGCAGGCTGATTTTGACTCAGTTGGCCCCACAAGTACACACAATTTTGAAACTCTATTCCAGTCTAACTGTTAAATTTCACCTGTAATCAAAGAAGTATTGCCTGCAAAAATCATTATACAGTCATCAAAAATGCAAGGACAAAAATAACTTGAATTACTGAAATGTGTTTCTGAAGACTGGACAGTTAGCACTTAGCACTTAGCAGTGATCACATTTACATTTCACAGGTGTTCTTCTATTCCACATTCTCCTTAAATATTGCAGGTACCAACCAAATGTTTGGAATCTAGATGACCACAACATAAAAACATAGGAATCTTGACAAAAACTACAGATTCGGCCCATGTCCAATTTCTGGAATCTTCCACGGTTGGTTGGTTGGTTTGGGTTAAGCACAACATCCAGTGGACCAAGGTGCTAACCGGAACTTTCACGCTGTTCCAAGCGGTCAGGTAGCGGCAATGCCACGTGCATTGCCCGGGAATCGAACCCGGATGGCCGAATCTAGAGGCAAGTATCTTACCCCTAGACCGGAATGCTCCCCAGGAATCTTCCACATTCCAAACACAAGGAAGGATTTCGAAACAGATGCGCCATAACAGAGACTTTAAACCAGCTGATAAAGTTGCTGCAAAAAATGTTTTGGATTGTTACATGCTGACTCGTGAATTATTATTATTTTTTATGTAAATGATCCAACACGATATTTAATTCTAATGAAATCAACATTGTGAGTGTAATTCACTACAAGAAAATTAATTTCCTTCCAATAATTCTACCAAAAGGGCATATAAATAAATATTACGTCATCATCATACATCCTTTCGTTAGGGAAGAGAGGATCTTAAAAATCAATCCTTGGTTCTTCTATTACTTTTGCGCCACTTTGGCGCCACTTTGTATTAGTTTTGTCTCTGCATATTTTGTTTTCTTGTAAAGATAAGAAAAACAAGAGATAAGACAAAGTGCCTGTTTAATGAATTTTCATTTCATTTTTGAGACAAAATTCAAGCTCAGAGCTACCTAGCACCTGCCTTTTCAGCTGGATTTTCAGTGTCAAATTCTTTGTAGGGTATCTCAGACCACATATCAATGCTCAAGGCAAGTTTCCAAGCAGTTTTGATGTGTTTTGTGGTGTGTTGATTCCGCCTTTTCTCCTAGGGAATGTTGTCATGAACATAGGTACCTATTACCAACCATTTGACTTACTAATTGATCGTGCTTTTGCAACATGAATGAGCATTCTTCCTTACATAGACCACAGTAGATTCTTGACAATTCTAATTAACCAAATCTGTGAAATGCTGAGGTCCATGTGTTGCTACCCTCAGCAATGTAACTTCTACCACAAAATGTATTTTGCAGTGGCTAAGGATTGACTGAACTTGGACTAAAATGCCATTTCCCATTATTTTCCATCAGAATTTGCCAAATATTTTAATTTTGGGGTAGAGTAATAGCAAATAGAATTTCGGTCAAATTTCGGTCAAATTTTGGCTTGGGATTTATCGGTCGGTATTCGGTCGGAAATTTTCCCCAAATTTTGGTTTCGGTCGGTATCGGTCAGACATTTTTGGAAAATGACATCACTAGATATTAATAAAACAAAGAGCAAGTCATATCAATTCATGATCTTTGCTTTACCGTATATGAATGTGTTATAAATCATCACAACGTAAAACAGATGCATCGAAAAATTCGAATGAATGAATGAATGAATGAATGAATGAATGAATGAATGAATGAATGAATGAATGAATGAATGAATGAATGAATGAATGAACGAGTAAATGAAGTAATGAAAAAATGGATCGATGAATGAATGACAAAATGAATGGAGACTGAATGAGTGAATAAACGAATGATTATATATGTAAATGAGCAAATGAATGAATAAATGAACGAATGAATGGATAGAAAAATTAGCTGCATTTTGACCCTCATCTTCTAAATGCTTGTCTCAGTTCCAGCGCACGGATTCTGGTTCTACAATTTTCCAGCCTCGCTGACCTGTGACATGTGCCCGCAGACACTTCGGACGCCGGAGAGAAAGCCATCGCCAGAGGCTCCCGCACCGTCCGCAGCCCCCAGTTCTTCCGGCCCGTTCAGCCTGGTCAGGTCGGCCGGCCCGGAATCCCAGGAAAACCGGGGAACCCTGGAAAACCGGGTCTTCCCGGCAGACCCGGCAGGCCAGGCCGCTTTCCGGGAACGTTCACACCCCACACGCCGCCAGGAAACTTTGGTCGGCCGGGCAACTTTGGCGCTCCGGGGTCGTTTGTGCCGCCCAAACTGCCGTTCGCCGCCACCTTTCAGATTCCAAACCCGCCCAACCCCGGCAGCCCCGGAAACCCGGGCAACCCCGCCGGCCCGGGAAAGTAGAGGCGACGCAGTGAATGTCGGGGCAGCAGAAAAGTGGTGCTACCTACAAATGCTGATGATTGAAGGGTCTCCTTAGTCCTTTAGTTATACCTGTGTAGCAGCGAGGTCACTCGAAATCAAAATACAAGTCAGAAATGGCCAGAACTTTCGTAACTTTAACTGTTACTGCCAGGGATGCGGAGCCGGAGCCGGAGCCGGAGCCGGAGCCGCCGGAGCCGGCATATTTTGCCCGGAGCCGGAGCCGGAGCCGGAGCCGTGAAACAATATAGCCCGGAGCCGGAGCCGGAGCCGGAGCCGTCAAAAAAGGGGGCGACTCCGGCTCCTTTTCTCAAGAGGAAACAATTATTTACCTAGTTCGGTTTGACAGTACAAGGCGTAAAACAATGTGGTATTCAAAATAGCCTTGTTATACAAATACAGAAGCAACGTGTACCAATCCCATCGCCTTTTTTTCACCCGTATTTAATTGATCGCATAGGGGATGTACTGAGTAGAAGCCGGAGCCGGAGCCGCCGGAGCCGGAGCCGCCGGAGCCGGATCATTTTACTCGGAGCCGGAGCCGGAGCCGGAGCCGCCATGACATTTCACCCGGAGCCGGAGCCGGAGCCGGAGCCGATTTTTTTCTCCGGAGCCGGAGCCGGAGCCGGAGCCGTCTGAAATTTCCACGGCTCCGCATCCCTGGTTACTGCATTGAATTATTCCTGTAGGTTGGTATATCAACTACACTGAAAAAAAGTCAGCCAAATTTTGGTCTCAGAGACCAGAAAGCGGTCTTTTTTCCCCTATTCAAATCAGACCACACTTTTTGAGCCATTCTGCGCGGTCTTTCTGAAACCCTTTTAGAGAGCTTAGAAACCGGTCTCGCGAAACCATTCAGTGGTCTCACGGAGAAACAAAACTGGTCTCCAAAATGCTCAAAGTGTGTTCTCTTTTGAAACTCTGAGCTGGATGAGACCACGTTCTGGTTTACGATAATACCGCTGGACTGTCTCAACATCAGCCACCATTGGATTAGACCAGAAAATGGTCTCATAGAAGAACTCAAGCCATTCTCGTTACGAGCCTTCTTTCTGGACCCTCGAATGTAGCCCGCGCGCAGCCCCGCCCTGCCGCGCGGCCATATTGCCGCCCAAAATACAACCATGTTTTCTTCTCAAAATGTATTAGTCTCGTATTAGTCGCGTCGTGCCGCGCGCTGCCGGCCCGGTCGACACAGGCCCAGGCCCTCTCAAACACAAATTTCAGTGCAGTAGCATATATGCGGAGACAATTGGCAGTCCCGTCGTGCCACGAGCTGCCGACCCGGTCACAAAAGGCCCAAGCCCTCTCAAACACAAAGCTAGTTCATGCAGTAGCAATGGGCGCGGCGAAAGCAGTCGCGTCGTGCCGCGCTGCAGTCCCCAACCAAAGAACACTCGTCACTCACCCCGGCCGCCGCTACACCGTGGTGAACGCGCGGTTGTGCGAAACGTCTTCTCCTAGAGAGCGAAATTCCTCGGCCGCCACTGTCTCTTGGTTCTTCAATTTGTAGAGGTCGGGAAGATCGTTACCTTCTTCAGAAGCCGAAGTCACTATGACATCTGCCCTTCCAATCTTGATTTCAACGAAATCTTACTGTAGCGAAAGATTAAAAGATTTCTGACCATGACTGATGAGCAAGTGTGTTGTTTCCTCTGTTATCATGCACAATATTTTATATATGGCTAAAGAATGTCTCTACTTATAACAATATAACCCCAAGCGCAGCGCACACCAACGCACACAATTTGCAAATGGCGCCTGACAATGCGCTGTATGTAAACAAGTCCAGAGACTGCACTTATCTGAAACCACCACGCTGCCTCACACCGACGCAGGATATGAGATGAGACCGGCAAACATTCTCACGGTTAGCCCTAAAAAGAGTCGCACCCATGATGCTTCAAACGCTGTTCAAAACGAGACCAACTATCAGGCTTGTCAAACAGGAGACTCGGACAGCCCTAATAAATGAGGTCAAGCAAGCACCATTTCACTATATAGACCACCTCGTGGTTTCACATGAAACCCAATCCGTAACCATTCTCATTTTGTTTTTTCAGTGTACCTCTTGATAAAAACATTGAATAATCCACCTTCAGCTTGTAGCAGAATTAGCAGTGGAGTCACTTGGTTACGTGCATGTTATCTGATGTATAGGCTTTGCGTAATAAGTGTGCATTTTATTTCGGCCTGTTGGTTACTAATACATGCGCTTGGCTAAAAAGCTCATCAATTTTTTGGGGGGAAAGGTTATGGGATAAGAAAATTGACGGAAGCAAAAAAAAACAGCTAAGTTCATATCCCTTCAACAATCCCATTCCTACACTATTCATATATAGGTTTGCAGCGTTAAGTGTCAAAGAAATCATTTCAATTGTATGTGAAAAACGTAAGGTACACGCACTTGAGACGTAAGCGCTGGTTCGTACGTTCCTTCATTTCAGCCTACACCGGTTTCTCTTGGTACTTACCATATCTTGATCATTCTACGCTTTTGTCAATTTGAACCTGATGCATGCTCACAGTCTCAAATCAGCGAACTTTCAGGTTTCATGATTCCGAAACGCTGTGGAGTGCAGCATTGTTTTGTTTTTGCTTGTTTTGTTTTTATTTACATGCCTCGACGAATGGGTCCAATACACATGCGTTATAGTTCGGAGTACTGAGCATTATGGACATGCTAGCTTATAAAATCAAATACCCACGTATGGCAGGAAATGGACAGGACGATTGATATTGTATCATATTGATTGCCGAATAGCTCTTGTCCGTAGTTTTACATAAACTGCACGACAAACAAAAGGACACAGACATTGCAGTCGGCATGTTAAGTTCATCGCATATTCGCTACTTAAACATCTGGTGCATGGCGTTATAGAACGCTAGAGTGTCGTCGATTGGCTCTCCGAGAGGAGCATATGAAAAGCGGATATCCAGTCGCTCGCAGTCTGGTCCCGTCGGGCGCCTCCAGGGCTCGTTCACAGCGATCGTCCGCCAGAACTTGACCCGATCCTCGAACAACTTTTCGCCGACGGTGAGATCCGAGTCGAGCCTCATATGCCGCTGGCTCTGCTCCGTGAAGATGGGCCAGTCCGGAGCGGCTGACGACTCGGAACTGGGCTTCCCGGTCCTGGCGAAGCTGGTCCACAGGCTGACCATGTTGCGGATCATGTTGTGGTTCGGTGTGCCCGGCTTCTCCAGAGGTAGCTCCGTCTGACTGAAGAGGTACATCAGCTCGTCGCCGTGTCCCGCGTCTGTGTTCGAGACCTCCAGAGTGCTGATATTGCTGAAGAATAGTCGGCCCGGTCCCTTGTACTCAAACATGTACTGGTAGACTGCCGTGTGCCGAGACGCTAGACTGCTCTCAGCCAACAGAGCTGCGTTGAAGAAACGATCACTTATTACTCGAGCTACCAGAAGGAAGGGGTTCAGATCAGCAATGACCAAATCAGTGTAGAAATCTCTTACTTTGGTTGCCTCTGCAGTTGGGTCAGCGTCACATTCAAGAATACTGGATGCCGTTCTGGTTGTAAGATCAGACATCAAGCCCCAAGAGAACGTGTCGCCCTCCATGACACCTAGAAAAATTGACTCAACAACGGCAAATATCGGCACAAATGGCCAGCCCTCTTCTTCTGTGACTCCTTGCATCCACGGAACGAGATTGAAGTCTCCCCTCTCGAGCAGAAGTCGTGGATCTTCCGGGAGAAAAGGGTGCTCCACCTCTACATCTACACGAGGCTGATACAGATGTTCAAAGGGACTTGCGCTTGCTAAAAACTGAGATGATGGCACCTGGGTCAGACAACCGACCATCTCAGTGATGTTAGCGACCGGACAGCCCAGTTTCTCAGCCAGTTCATCCGTGAAACCCATTTTTCTTCCGCTGGCACCAAAGTTGGCCAGCGCCGAGCCTGACTGGCTGATGGCGTGGTGGAACAGTCCTTTAGTAAGAGGACTCAGTACCAGAAGTGAAACACTCACTCCGCCCGCTGATTCACCAAAGATCGTCACCGCCTTCGGGTCTCCGCCGAAGCTGGCGATGTTGTCCTGCACCCACTGCAGCAGCAGCACCTGGTCGCGCAAGCCAGAGTTGCCTGGAGCTGCCGCGTCGTAGGTCGTCAGGAAGCCGAACACTCCGAGCCGGTAGTTGAACGTCACCAGCACGATGTCCTCGTCCATCAGGTACTTGGGGCCGTAGTAGCGGTCGTTGCCGCTGCCGCGGATATACATACCGCCGTGAACGAATATCATAACGGGCTGACTGCTGACACTTTGCATGCGGGTGCGCACCTGCCGAGTATAGACGTTCACAAAGAGACAGTCCTCGTTGCCAATCAGCGGCGTCTCGCTAAACGTGTCGATCTGCGGACAGACACTGCCGTGTTCTTTGGCATCCAGCGGCCTCTTCCAGCCCGGGTGGCGCTGCGGTGGTTGGAACCGAAGCTCACCTACCGGTGGCCGCGCGTACGGGATACCCCTGAAGGCGAAGAAAGCTTTTCCAGATGCGCTTCTTTCGAGGTAACCGCGGACAGGACCTTCCTTGGTGCGAACCAGACGCGTCCTGGTCGGAAGACCAGTGTAGTAGCTGGTAACACCCGCCGCTAGCAGCGTTGTCCACAGCAGCAGCCGCAGCATGGCTACAACGTTCCGTTCAGCCAGACAGCACCGACCTGACTGCCCCCGCGCGCTGCCCCTCGCTCGCTGCAGCGTCCCGATAAACTGCAATGCAGCTGAAACCAGTTGGAATCATAACATCTGCCCGAGTCTGTTGCAAGTCGACGAAGGTATTCTGTCGGAAACTACTGCTGCATACCTACATAAACACTGGCAGCTGCAACGCATCAGAAATGAGCTCTCATAGATAGCCGTCTGGTTAGTGCATATATCAAAGGTTACATCTGTTCAGGTCAGCTAGTCGTACAAAGTAGACGTGCGCTGAGAATGACTTACCAAGATCTTGGGGACTGCTCTAATAATAACTGCACGAGGTGCCACAACAGAAAGAAAGAAGACTGTTTCTTTCCATATGCTTTGCTAATCTTGCTTTGCATGTTTTGATTCAGTTTTGTTTCACTATTCATGGCACAATAAGCTTAAATTTGGGTGGCTGTGATAAAACAAATTGGTTATGTGTTCTCACCTCAAATTTCAATGCGTCGCTATCCCAGCATAAGTTAGCAAAAACCTAACCATTCAGATCAGCGGTCAGTTTTAGGCTCTGTTCTTTATGTTAGAAAAAAGGGCAAACGGTCAGAACAAAGCAAAAACGTAAAAGAATATTGAACATTTACACGTACCAAATTCCAGGATCCTCATCACGTGAGGTAAGGAAAATGCTAAGAACGGAGTGATAAATGCACATGAAGAGTCCGCTTAAATCGTACGATGAACAGAAGCTACCCGTCAGGTGCATTATGAGACAAGCATAATTCATGTTGCCTATGTTCGTTATTGAACAGTGTATGGCATAGATAAATAACTCTGCGTCCAGACTGATCAGTGATCATTCATGAAATTCGTTATCTATAAACGCCAGTCCGGCAGACTAAATCATTTGGAATCGAAACGACGTGACGCTGAGTGCTGCTTTATGTTAGCACATCGCTGTTTGATGTTTATCCCATGAACGCAGATCAATGAACAGCCAATCCACCGACCGACTGCATTACAAAACAACACCGAAGAGGGCGTGGAGGGACGCGAAAAACTAAAGGAAGGTCTACTTAAACTTCTCATCTCATCATGCTAAAAGCACAGTTATACGCGACATTGCTGTTGGTGATGAGATGCAGCGGTTTCCGCTACACATCTCTGGGACGTCCTCGGATAGTGCGCACCCAGGAGGGCCACATTCGAGGATACACGTCCAAGAGCGCATCCGGAAAGGAGTATGTCGCCTTCAAGGGCATCCCGTACGCGCGGCCTCCAGTAGGGGAGCTGCGCTTCCAGCCGCCGCAGCGCCACCCAGGCTGGCGGGGAGTGTTGGACGTCAAAGACCACGGCAGTGTCTGTCCTCAGATCGACATGACCGGTAACGTAACATTGGTCGGTGATGAGGACTGTCTGTTCGTGAACGTTTACTCGAGGAAAGTGAGGACGTGGGGGAGCGGCGTCGGCCGTCTGCCGGTAATGGTTTTCGTTCACGGAGGAGCCTTCATTCGCGGCAGCGGCAACGACCGCTACTACGGCCCCAAGTACCTGATGGACGAGGACATCGTGCTGGTGACGTTCAACTACCGGCTCGGGGTGTTCGGCTTCCTGACCACCTACGACGCGGCAGCACCAGGCAACTATGGCTTGCGCGACCAGGTGCTGCTGCTGCAGTGGGTGCAGGACAACATCGCCAGCTTCGGCGGAGACCCGAAGGCGGTGACGATCTTTGGACAGTCGGCGGGAGCGGCCAGCGCTTCACTTCTGGTGCTCAGTCCTATGACTAAAGGTCTGTTCCACCACGCCATCACTCAGTCAGGCTCGGCGCTAGCCAACTTCGCCGCCAGTGGAAGGAAAGTTGGGTTTACAGATGAGCTCGCTCACAAATTAGGCTGCTACAGCACAAACACCGAAGCCATGGTTGCCTGCCTCAAGAAGTTGCCTACCCAGTCGCTGCTGGCGACGGCAACACCAGACAAGCATCTGTACCAGCCACGTGTTGATAGAGATGCCGCCCGACCACTGCTACCAGAAGACCCACGAATTCTTCTCGAGAAAGGACAGTTCCACCATGTACCATGGATGCAGGGTGTCACCAAAGAGGAAGGCTGGTTCTTTGTGCCAATCGTCGCAGACGACAAACAGCTGTCGGCAGGATTCGCCGCTGGTAACGTCATAGCATGGGGTCTAGTGTCTGACATTCTATCCTCTTTGGATTTCAATCCTCTGGATTGTGGGGCAGATCCTATGACAGAAGTGCACAAAGTGAAGAAGTTTTATTTGGGCTCGGAAGGCCATAATACTGTAAGTCGTTTGCCGATTGCCCAGATCATCAGCGATCGTTACTTCAACGCTCCAATGGCGGCAGAGGGCAACCTGGCGTCCCGGAGATCCCCGGTTTACCGGTACGTGTTCGAGTACAAAGGACCAGATCGCCTGTTCTGGGAAAACATCACTCGCCTAAATGAGTTCAACACAGACCCCGGGCACGGCGACGAGCTGCTGTATCTCTTCAGCCAGGCGGAGCTACCTCTAACGAAGCCGGGAACACCGAACTACAACATGACCCGCGACATGGTCAGCCTGTGGACCAGCTTCGCCAGGACCGGGAAGCCCACTTCCGAGTCGTCAGCCGCTCCGGACTGGCCCATCTTCACGGAGCAGAGCCAGCGGCACATGAGGCTCGACTCGAATCTCACCATTGGAGAACGGCTGTTTGAGGACCGCGTTGAGTTCTGGCAGACGATCGCTGTGAACGAGCCCTGGAGACACCCTGTAAAACCGCCCTGTCCTCAAGGACGACTGGCAGGTGGTGATAACAATATTCCGGACGATCTTAACCGAGCCTTCTACGGGGTTCTCATCACAAAGTTCAGTTAGCTTCGAGACATGTGAAATCATTCGAAATCAAGCGACTCTGGTGAGTTGGTTGCGTTCTTTTTGTTTTATGTCCCATGAAATAGAAATGATATGAAAACTTGGTTATTTTAAAGACGAAATATTGTTATTTAATGATGAAGTCTACTGAACGAATTGCTAAGGATCATGTGCGGCGGAACGGGGGGGGGGGGGCACCGACCGGGGCACCGTGCCCACCCCCTTCATTTTGCCATTTTAACATTAGCCCTATGGGCGTTGCATGGAAAGAATGGGACAGTCGGCAGTGCCCCCCCCCCCTTAATTGAAGGTGTTCCGCCGCTCATGCTAAGGATAAAATGACCAACTAAAACATCGGGCGATGCGTTCACCTGCATCACACTTGGCCATATATTTTGTCGTAAGGTTCTGTTGTTACTTCCCTAACGATCATGAACACATTTATGATTCAGCCACGATGAAAATGTTTTTTTTTTTTTTTGTTGGACCATGTACGGCGTCGACGATCGACACAGGCCGACTTTTTAAGTTTGTTTCCGGGATTGCTTGGAGATGGAAGGCGTCAGCGACAGAAGTTGAAACAGAAGAATTAGCATACCTATCATTTGATCAAAGCCCTACCCTACCGTTTGACAGAGACCAACTTTTAAAGTCAGCACTGACCTACGAATGACTTCATATCTTTTGAACCGTCGGCAAAAAAAGTCGCAAGCTCGCAATGTGCCAAGGAAGATTAAACTTTCAGAAAGTAATAGCCTTCCGAGTCTTTAGAACTTGCTAATTTCAGATTTTTGTGAGGGTGGGTCACCTTACCTAAGTCAGGACGGTCACGTGATTCAACCGGCTCACCGGGTCCGGCTGAGGGAGGAGGGGGGGGAGGGGCGGCGGCGGATATCATTCAGTGCGGCAAAGCATGACGGACATGATCATAGGGAACCGGGGGGGGGGGGGGGCAGTGGGGGCAGCTTGCAGCTTGCCCCCCCCCCTTCCCCCAACTCTGGGGCCGTGGGGGCGGTGCCCCCACAACTTTGAGACGGAATACCCACTTCTTTGCAAATGCTTTATTTTTTGTTGAAAAAGACAGGGGATGAGAAAAGTGGCCTAAAACCGTTCAGAAAACAAGATTTTGGGGTACCCTAGGTTGATGATATTATAGGTACTTGATAATATGGCGTGCCCCCCCCCCCCCCAGTCTGAAAGTAGTTCCCGTGCCCCTGGACGTGATTATACCAAGAACGTAGTTGAGGTGATGTTTGGGCAAAGTTGTTTACATATTTAGTGGTGAGGTTATTCCCACACACACGTACACACACAAAAAAACACGACCCAGACCTTCAGGCCTGACCTTGAAGTCGAGCTGACCTCGGAGGTCACTTGTCACCAGCTGCCTGAACCTTTGAAACCGGGTACCCACCCGGGCCGATGCGACACTGCGTCTCTAATGCAGATCCAACGCTCATTGTTTTTCTTTTTTGGTGAAGCCGTAGATCATGGGGGGAACGAAGAGGCGAGGGGGGTCGTAAATTGAAATGTCGTTCCCGTCGCCCCTTCAGTTCTCGGTCGCGGGTAGAAACCGTACGTAGCACGTAGAAACCCGATGGGACCAGCCGGGGTACAGCACTGGGGTACGCCGTACGTACATCAAGGTCAACAACTCAAGCTCTAATTAACAATTGGCTAGGAAACTAGCTCACTGAGAGTAGAGAGATCTAGAGGCAAAGGATGCTCAGAAACGAGCCATGCTGCCCAGCTACATACCTTGAGTTGCTTTCCGATGACTTCAGTCAGCTGCGCTCGCAGTTATTTTGCCGCCTGCCGCTCACCCTATCTTGATCTTGATCTCCCAAACTTGACGTTCAACGTTTCCAGAGAGGTTACCCACTACCAGCCAAATACCACTACTACCACTACTTTGCTTGAAAGCCTAGCTTCGAGCCTTCGGGGCTCCGGCGGCGACACTTGCAACACCGGCCGCCGACCGTCAAATTCCGTCGCCGGCCGTAGTCGGAATCCAACAACGAAACACGACACTACGCCAGACGAGTAGTAAAGTAATCTTGCGCCAGACAGCCTTGTCCCGCCGTGGTTCACATAAACGCCGCCACTCAATGCACCAGCCACAAATCACGCCAGGATTCACGAAAGTGCACCCACGCACCACGCATTTGTCGATTTTTCTCACCCCGCGCACAACTTCCCACGCGTCCGGACACGCGGGTTCCCGGTCGATCAGCTGACTGTCGGCCGGCGGGGAGGAGTAACAACTGCGCATGAGCGGAAATGACGTCACAGTTATTCTCCCGGCGACTTTCGAGGTGGAAGACGAGAAATGCGTGTGCGAGGCGCGACGAGGCCCGTGGGCCGTGAGCGTAGGTGGCGGAACGGAGAGGGCACCGGGGCACCGTGCCCCTTTTGATTTTGGCATTTTAACATAAGACTTTATGGGCGTTGCATCATGCATGGAAAGAATGAGACCAAAAGTCGGCAGTGCCTTTCCCCCCCTCTTAATTGAAAATTTGAAGGTGTTCCGCGGCGGAACACCTTCAAAGTAGCGGCGGAACTTCCGCCGCTAGCTACTGTCCGTGAGGACTGCGGATACGATAATTTTCGATGACTCCAACTCTGGTTTCCAAACTCGCCTCAGACTCCGACTTCGGTCAGAACTGTCGACTCAGGCTCACGACTCCGCAGCCCTGGCGCGTGTGGCAGTGAAAAGAAGTGAGTGGACAACCGCGACCCCTTTATCAATTTCAGCGTCCCCCCCCCCCGTCCCCTTCCACAAGAGGGTCACCACCGATCAGCATCAGCTGAGAATCAGCCCGTCGGGTTATCGTTCATTCCAGCGCTACGTTGAAAAGGGTATTTTTGAAAATAAACCGGCATCGATGCATTTGCATAAAAATAGCAGCGATTGAAAGCTCGAAGATCTCCACCCGATCAGCATATCAAACAGGTCATTGAATTCCGTAGATCATCATAGGGCGCTGACCCACAAGGTCTATCGGCCAAAAAAAAAATGGCTTCTGGAAATGCCGGTGTCACATCCTGGCGCTCTTTAGAGTCGGTACTTACAAGTCAGTGGAACGGTGTAACTGAGTTGCACCGTCCACACATACCAATCCGTCCAATAAGTAAATGCCACGCTGAATATTCCAAACTATAGGTAGTAGTCTGCTCAGTCGTCAGTCGTCCCCAGTCGGCTCAGTCTGCAGAGAGCTGCATATTTAGTAGCATAAGCCATGGACTTCATGAAATCAATCATCGATTTACATAAATATTGTACGTATCGATGGGGCCAATGCCCTCGCCACCCTGCGGGACCGGGGTGAGCACAGGACATGTGCCTGTGCTCACCAAAGTGGTCAAGGCCTCCTAAACGATCTACCAAATGCACATCCAATGAACCACGTCAATGGGCAGATGGCATCACTTGATCGAGAGGTGTAAGTCATATTGCATCCGAAATTGTACGATTCGCTAAAAACAAGTGTTAACGCTTGCTCAGCGTTAACTTTCAGGAATCGGCTATTCAACGTCAGGCCATAACAAACGAGCGGAGCGATGTTTCATCCCATCGGCTTCCCCTCCTGTTAAAGGGACCCTCCCACCTTCAAAAAAGTTTATGAATTGGCATGAAAGTGATGTCGCTCGTTTCAGAAAGAGCGAAAACGAATTTCTACCAAATTTCACCCAAAAATATTCACCGGTTTTCAAGATATTAGACTTTTACTTTTGTTTACTTATTTGGGATCTCCGCTGTTTCTAGCGACTTTATTTTAGAAGTGCGGCGTTTGCGGCAGATGTTGCGCGCAAATAGCATATACCACCGCGTGCTACAAAACGTTTTAGTCAAACATTTAAAAATCGTTAGATATTTGCGCTGACGTCACACATTCAGAGGGGTATTCCTAAGCATTAGCCCCTCTGAATCAAAATGCTGCAATTTTGAAATTCAATATTTCCGATTTAAGGCATTTCTCGATGTTGTGAGTGCCGAAACCGGTAATTGTTTTTTATTTCATTATTGTGAGCCAGGGACCCCATTTTGGCTATCTCAACTCAAATCTAATGTTAAGGTGGGAGGGTGCACCTTAACAGGAATACGATAAATATAATGATCCGGGAAGTATATTTGGCCAAATAAAACGGAAGAGTTCACATATCGCGACATTGTAAGCATAAATTCATCTATAGATATCGCGAATGTGGAACACAGTACCTGATAAGAAGGAATAAACATCCCATGTCAGCCACGTAAAAGAAATAAATAGCTAAAACGCATAAGGCACATCAGTCACATTTTGATCGTCAGTTGAACTGGTAGATAGACAGCAAGGTACAGCGGAGACAGCCGCAGACACTAGCAAAGTATACGGGAAGTTGTACTTACAGGGCGAAAGATTGGTTGGTAGACAATGAGATGTTGAGATATAAAGGTGCAATCTACAGAAAATAATATACTCTTTTGATCATGATCCCCAGCATTTTGATCTAAAAAGGTCACTTCATTAAGTCTCAGAGAAACACGATTTATCAAACATGATTAAATGTATACGAAGGAGAGCATAAGACCCAAACATTGATGATAAGTACAGTACCATTGAATGCGACGAACGCAAAATATTTACAAATAAAACGTTAAATAGCTGAGTAGGAATAAAGGTAAATACATTTCAGGTCATCATTGGCACACACCGGAGTCAGCAGGATAGTTATAAAAACGGCTTACTCCATATGTCAAGGTAAGTACAAATAGTCATACTGGGAGGAAATATCATCAAACATTCCGTCAAAGCGCTAGGGTGAGAGGCGGCGTTGGTCACTGTGCAGCATCCCAGAGGAGAAGCCTCTCCCGCCGCTAGGTGGCAGTGTCGTCCACTCGCTAGATGGCGTTGACGTGCCGGGAGTCTTCACCCTGCATCAGGCGGAAGTCGGCCAACAGTCGGGACAGCTTATCGTGCGGACCCAGTCCGTGCATCTGGGAACTCTCGCACGCCTTCTGGTAAAAGTACAGCGCCGGCGCCGGACACGAGCGCTCAAAATAGAAGAGGCGGAAGCTGGGGTCGACCGCGCGGTGCACGTGCAGCCCGGAGAACTTGACGAAGGCGCCGTACAGATCGTACGGCAGGCGGCTGGAGCTGCCTCCGACCCGCGGAACTCCCATCGGAATAGAGTCCAGCGTCTGCTCACGGACTGCAGAGACAGAGTAAGAGGGGGGTCAGCGGTGTATCAAATATCAATACAGCAGGGTCAGACGGAGCCGCTAAAAAAACAATTATACAGGGACTCCCGACAAATCACATCAGCACATTAATTTCGTCCGGCACATGACAGACCTTCCTTGCAAAAGCAAAAACTACTAGGTGAGGTCAGACTCTGACCTCCATAGTAGTTTGTGGCGCTGTCGTACTTACCAATTTTGTAGTCATCCATATAGAACGACATGATGGCATAGTGTTCGCCGTCGAAGTGTCCGTAGTCCTTGCGCAGTTCCAGTTTGTCGGGCCGCAGGTTGGTGGTTCCGTAGTAGCCCACAGCCGGGTAGTATTCCACCCACGGGATGGGGCAGAACACCTCCCAGCCGCGGATCGTCTGCATACGAGCCTGAAGGGAACACCAAGGGGTTAGTTAGGGATGAGATAAGCTGGGGTACGGACACGTAAACGACGTAACAGCGTGATCATGTGCCGACAAGGAGCTACCAAGAAGATAAGGAACATACGGGTAAATGGACTTGGTTTGAATCCAGTGAAAATACAGGAATGAGGTACTGGGTGGTCATCGACTTATAGTCCCCTAAATAGTTATTAGCGTATGACGTAGGCTATCAAATCGTCATTGCAACACATCAGTCAATATACGCACACTGAAAATGCCGTTGAGTTCCTAATTCATCAATGCTTAGGTCACGACACACAAAGTACAGGGTATGCACGTTAATGAGGAATCGAGATGCCCTAGCACTGCTACAACCAACTGTCCAAGCTCTATCATCCCCCACGACCCGCCCCTCCAACTCCTCTTTCTCAGCACTCACCCTGTTCAGCAGCTCCGAGTTGAACTCGACGGGTTCGCTCAGCAGCAGCACCAGCGCCTGCTGCCACCGGCCGCGCGTCTGTTCCCCCACCGTATCCACCATATCGAACTGGGACGGCGGCTCCCGGTGGGGCCACACCACCGCCTCGAACCTGTGCGCCGCCGCCGAGCGCCGCTCGTTGGCCTGCTTCACCAGTCTCCTGAGCGGCTCGAACAGAGACGTGTCCGCTTCTCCGGGGACCAGGAACAGCATCAGCGCCACGTTCTCGTTCTTGTTGATGAGCTCCTGGACGAAGGTGTGGGCGCGGTCCACGTGATGAGGCTGGACGGAGAGCAGGATGGACACGGTGGGTTTCTCGGTGACGAATGGAATCGGCACTAGCTCGGCCTTCAGGATCGGACGGTGCACCTCGACACGGCGCGTCTGAGTGGCCCCGCCAGAGTCGGGCTGCACCTCCATGTCGAGAATGTAGTCCATTCCGCGGGTGCCGTCAAAGCGTCGGTATCCGGCTCGGAGTTTTACCAGCTGTACGGGCGCTGTCTTGCGCAGCTCGGCCATGCCCAGCTCCATCACGTCCTGGGGAGATGAGGCGAAGGGTAAGTAGATGTTGCACATTGAATTGACGACGTGGTCGCAGCTGATGACACGGATCGTGACTTTACAACTGTATAACTTCAGTACCAGCCGGAGGGATAGAGGCAGGCATGAATGTGGTCAGTACGAGACAGTGATACTGACCGCATAAAGAAAAAATGGCAATGAAACGAGATGGCCATATCCTTGCACCACTACCCAAACTAATAATGCATTAATTGCAAATGGCAAAGGTCGATTTTTCACCATTTCCATTATAACATCCCACAACTCATTTCGTTTTTCATCATCCAATCATTTATCCATATTTCCTCGCTCATCACAACACCCCCACAATATCGCCTCTATACATTTCCCTTCCCACACTCTCAATCCTACGTCGCCTCTCAGCCCCCATTCCACACTCACCTGAATATCCAGTCTGTCCACCTCGGTGTGCGGGTCGACCACCTGCTGCTCGGATCGGAGGAACATCTCCGTCTCGGAGAATCGCTCCCACATGTTAATGTGGTGCCGGCTGGCCGTGCGGACCGGGGCCGGGGAGCCCGTGGGCCACGGCAGCGGCTCCGGCTCGCCGGACTCCTCCTTGGAGTCATCGCCTGTGGGAGGGGAGGAGAGGTTAGAATGTGGGGAGAGGTCAGAATGAGAGGAGAGGTCAGAGTTTAGGAGACAGTGAGAGGTTAGTCTGGGGAGGGAGACGTCAGCGGGACAGTCTGAGAATGAAAGGTCTACTGGAAAGTCTTGTTGGGAAGTTAACGGCCTTTATCTGGAGGTAAGGATGAGACAAACTATGGTCGAGGATATACTTTGACGTAAGATGTTATCGGCCTTGGGGTCCACTAACGAATATAGCTAGAATGCTGTCAAAAAGAGCTTCAAACATTATCAGCAGCGTCATAGATCGCGGAAAATGCTCTCACAAAGGAAACATCACACAAATGTCTGAGTACCTAACAACCCTGTCAGCACTTCCCAAGTCCAAAGCAGCATTTCTACCGCCCAACAATCCCACTGAGCCCTTTACTAACTCTAACTCCTATCGTCCCTCCACTGCGCGGTCCTCACCAGCCTTAGCCCTGCTGAGCACATGCAGGTTCCTCTGGTTATCCTCCAGTGCACGGCGCAGCTGACCGATACGTTCATCAATCTCGGCGATCTCCAGCCGTGAGAAGGCGGCGTGCAGTCGGTTGTGGTCGGCGGCAGAGTGGACTGCCTGGATGGAGACCAGGCCCGGCAGGTCGCCCTCGGCCGACGGGTCGTACAGGTGCGCCTCCTGAGAGACGAACCACTTACCCTGTGGGAAGAGGGGTGAGGGATGAGCCACACGCCCTACTGAGGCGAGTGGAGCATAGAATCACGGGGTTTGATGGCGGTCAGAGCTGAACTTTACTGAACTCTGCTAGAAACAGTATGGTGAGCCGTGAAGTGAAACAGGGGTCGGTCGGGTGTTACCACAAGAGAAGATGGGGAAGGATGGTTTGGAAATACACAGATAACAGGAAGACAACGGCAGTTTGTTTAGACAGAGAGGTGACACCAAATGAGATAACGTGCTTTGAGAGAATAGTCCTAAACACGTAGGTAGTAAAAAAGCGTAGGTAGATGCATAACCCGCCTGAATCCTGATAGCAGCTACCTATACCTACATAACTACATAACGCATTCTAAAAAAAAAACGTGCGCTCTGATAAAGGTTATAACCTCTCTTTTGGATGATGCCTATTGCAGCAGTAAAAGCTGAACAAGCAAGCCTCCGTGCCAAGTGCTCACGCACAGCTCAAGGCCGCGAAGGCAACGGAAGTAAAGCCGAGCGGTCATCTAATGACTGCTAACGACCACTAATGACACTCGGACGACCTTGTCTGTGTGCGGCCGAGGGAATGGGCTCACTGGTCTGTGACTGGACGGTAGAGAACTAGAGAGGAGTGACGCGCGGGAACTGAACTCATATAGTGCATTTAGGAAATGCTGAACCTTTATAAGGTGCATTATGGAATCGGCCCCAATAGTGCATTTAGGATATACTGAACCTTTATATGGTAAGGAATCGTCTAAGTTCAGCTGATATCAGAACAACGAGTAAAACGAAATTTAGCCACTACCATTGTTCTCGTCTGTGTCAAGTGCCGTAGATCGGCATTGGCTTTTTCGTGAATTCTCAGGCAATATTCCATTCCAGGACACACACCCTTCCTTCCCCACTTTTCCTCGATCCGTTGTATACCCCTAGCCTTTTGCCTATTCCGTGTTCACCGTCCATCCCATTCTCTCCCCTGTCATACCTCCCTCTCTCTCTCCCACTCCCCGGCTTCTCTCTCCTCTCCAGCCTCGGGCCAGGCCCGGCGCCGGACGGCCGCCGCTGTACCCTCTGCCAAGGTCACTGCACCGCCGCCTCCGCCGCCGCCGGTCCCAGACCGGTGTTTGCGACATCGCCCACGCGTTGAGCCCACGGCGGCGGCGGCGGCAGCGGAGGCGATGACGGTACGGAGTCGGTAGCGTTCACAGGTACGGGGTCCAGGTAAGGTGAGGGGTCTCAATTGACAGGAAGGTCGTCCAGGACAGCACACGACAGTGCTGGATAACGCCACGAGCTAACTACATTGAGCGTTCGTACTGCCGGCACTATGATTGAATAAATTGTTTTTACTTACGTAGTGGCAAGCGTCAGGCTGCTATCCAACATGAACGGTATACAGCAACAGAAAGGTAGAAATATAGCCATGATTTTATCTTAGCGCTTTCTTATTAGAATGAATGGCAATGAAGCTGAGGAATCTGGAATTCCTCAATATCCACTCCAACCTAATTAATTCAGTTCACCTTCAAAGGGCATCAGTAGAGTTCGACATGACCTAATTTAGCGTTCAGTCCACCTGAACTAAAATCATCAAACCGGTTTGTGACCAACGTCTCCACCCCATGTAATCCAGACCAGAGACGGCCACTCGAAACCGTAAACGTCCATGTAGGTAGACGCTTCAGTCATCATATCTGACCAGATATGAACCCTAAACCTCTCTGAAGAGTGAAGACACTATAGTCATCATGTCTGAACAGTATCTTTAAACGCCTACTTGTCCTCCATGGCCCCTAAGCCCCACATCCCCTCCCCTGCTGACCTCAGTGAACAAGATGCCACATGACCCCTGATGACCCCCGGTGACCTCGGTGACCTCGGTGACCTACCTGGGCGCGGTCGGTGCAGCGGATACCACCCAGCAGCTCCAGACACGAGATGAGCGCCTGATCACCAGTCAGAGCAGAGGTCTGGAGACGGGCCTCACACTCGGCCTTTCGTTCGGTGTTCACCAGCAGCTGACGGGAGAGCAGCAGACCGCCGTCTAGAGAAAGAGAGAGAGAGAGAGAGAGGGGAGGGGTCAGGTAAAAATAGAGGCTAAGACTCGATCTTGAGATATGAAGAAATAAAAGCCAGGGGAACCAGGACCCGGTGTGAGACGATTACGGGTCGGAGAGCTCGTACATCGGTTGAAATAATCGCATGACGTCTCTTCACCGAACTAGCATCATAACGGCCATCACTTAACTGGATATGTGACATCAGTAAATGACATCAGCAGCCGATAGGATGCCGCAATGACGCTGATACACTGTGAGAACTCGAAACTCCGTATAAACGATGGTGACGTCGGGGTCTGAGCACTGAACCACTCATACAAACTCGGAACTCCTCGTTTATGCCGTCACGTAGATCACCTTTCTCCATCCCACAGCGTCGAGAGCAAATGAAAGACAGGTGGCCAAGAGTAATATTTCCCAGATGACGCCCACGTTAACCACATTTCTCTCCGCCGTTACCGTGATTTAGTGCCAACACATGTCCGAGCGCCAACTCCCGCAAACGTGAGAGAAAGTACTGGCATACGGAAATTTTCTGTCGAGATTCAAATACAAACACAATATGTGAATCCATAAGGAAGGCGTCCAGCATGTGACAGCAGCGCTAAACATCCCGTGAAGTTCAGCAAAAAAGGAGAAACTATTGATTTCAAAACAGGACGTGGCCGTCCGAAACCAGCCGTATCTAAACTACAGCAGCTCAGCTCAGCGTTCACTCAGTCTTGAGACATCTGTGTTACGAGACGGCCATAGCTCTGCGGATTATCCGGGCAGGATCTGGTCACCGTTACACAGAGCGAGGCCAGACTTTGGTCCCATCCACTGCGATCAAATCACACCGGCCACCGGCAGAATCAACAGGCAAACAGAGTCAGAGAGTCCAGCGGACTCTATACTTCAAAAAAAACAAAAAAAAAACAGGAACCCTGGACTTCTCTCCCGCTCACAGACAAACCGACTATCACATCCAGTCACAGTAGGGGTCTGTGTCTCGTCCCCTAGTGGGGGAAGGGACACCACGGGGGCGGGGTAAACCCAGCGGTTCTGCTCGCTTCAGTGGCGTGTCGACCCCGTACGACACCTGACCTGATGGCTCGGTCCACTGCACACGCCGATTTGGCAACCGTTGCCAGATCTGGTCGCACAGGGCTGCCGCCCGACGCCTTGACCCCATTGCAGGAATCGCAGAGAATGAGATTATGCGACAGGGCGCTGCTTACCGCTCGGCTAAGCGCGACGGCTCGTGATCAATACGCTAGCGGCTAGGGTTACAATATATAGCCGGCTTATAAATAGACAGTCTTGGATTTTCGAGTCCTGTACCATCGCCGTACAACGAATGCAGCACACAGTGACCGACTTGAAGCTATGCTAAACCAAACGTGCGCAATGCGTCGGACTATCATCAATCATCGGCAAAATTTATCATATTTTTATTTCTGGTCATGACCATCATTCCTGAGTCACTGACCGGCTGACAGTAGCTCATCTGCCGTTCTACCGGCACAATTTATGCCCATCCAAACGGACCGTGGGCAGTGGGCACCCGTGGCCGACGACCCGGCTCGCGGCTCCGTTCCGGCTCCCGACCGTCCCACCAGGCACCAGCGGCTCCCAACCGCCCGACCAGCTCCACTGCCGACCGGCACGACGGCCCACCAGCTCAGCGGTCGACCGCGAGCCGGCACCGGTCGGCCGGCAGGGTCACTGGCCTTCACCGTGGCCGCTCCCAGCACCGCCGCTGTTCCGCCGCGGCGACCCGAAAACGAGGAGCAGCACGGCGCAAACAAGGGACAGGTATCGAGGAGTGGTCGCCGCGTTCGGGCCTCGGGGCCGGTCGGCAGGGAGGGTAGGCGAGAATAGTGTAATAACCATGAAATAGGTTTATATCTGGATAAAAATAACCGAGTTGCGCATCCACTGGATTATCTAAAATCGTACGCCTGCAACCAGGTTTCATCATCCGATGTAACGCATGCTCTTCACAAGGACTAAATCGAAAACCGGAAACTTCAACAACTGGCAAGGAAAAAAAACCTGGCAATCAACTTCCTGCACAAACATCCAATCACAATTGAAAACACTACAGTCCATACAAACACCACCCACTCCTCCACCGGGAATCGATCCCGCGCCCTCATCACACACAGTACTCACCGAGCCTGCACGAGTCCTGGTGGCGTGCGCCGAGGAGCACATCAGTGCTGACGCTGAGATCCTCGGCCAACTCCTTCAGCCGATAGCCGCGCACGTACGTGTTGTCGCGCACGATGAAGAAGAAGTCGTACATGTTGCCGAAGTGGCTGGCCACGTACTCGGCCGTCCGCATCGGAAGGTTGTCCGTGCCGTCCTGAGGGAAAATGGAAGAGGAAGCGTTATAGAAGGGTTTTATGGTAGGGTCAAGGGAGGAGTTATGAATACTAAAGCCGCTCTACTGCATAGAAAGGTGAAGTGAAGCCCTCACAAAGCATCAATCCCGATGGCAGTACCGTTAGGCACAAATTCTGCGCTAAAACAAAGTATTGTCCTAGCACGACCATCCGGGTCTCAGTGCTCCACAGCCCCCGATATGCACAATACGCGCTGAGTATAGCTGCCGTGAAAGCAGGTCACGGCCACTGTCGGCCACGTCTGCGTCGGACAACACAGTCAGTGTCGATTCAAAGAAGCTTGGCATTGGTGACGCTCCAGCAAATCGTGCGAGTGACGGTCCAACAATGCACGCTTTCAGTGACTTGCTATTAGACGTTCCAGCACTTGCGCATCATCAGTGTTGAGCTCAGTCATGGCGTACCATCAGTGATATGCCATAAGAACCACCATGATATACCATAACAACCACCATGTATTACCATAACGTCAGTGCTACCACCACACGCGTACTATCAGTGACGTTCCTATGTGGCACACGATTAATGACGCACCATCAATAAATTACCATCAGCCGCAGTGCTATCGATATCTATCACCTCCCACGCACCGCGCTGCTCCCATGTCAAACCCGGCCGGTCCTGTCTCCCAGGCGACAGCTATCACACAGTTATACAAATCACCCCCAATCAGCAAACGGCCTACCATAGAAGCCGTCCTCTTTATACCGATGACGTGCAATGGAGAATCGTGGAATCTTTATGGCAGGTATATAGACATGATTATCTCAACGTTCGTGGCGGCGCTGATGACCTCAACGCTGACGTCAAGCTAGGAGATGAATTGAAGGACGAAGTCCAGGAGAATTCGTGGGGTGGCTGACGTGATTTCGAATCGAAGGTTGGACGTCTTGTCTTGGTATTTGTGACCCGATTGGATGGACGGATAGCAAGGCGGGAAAGAGGTCCCAATTCCAGAAGGAATTAACATTAGTCGTCTGATCATGAAGCTACCTTGCAGAAAAGAAAAATGTGAGGGCCAGTAACGGTACTGTAGTCCAACGGGACTGTAAGCTTTTTCATTGCAAAGTCACGAATTGGCAGGCACTGTATGTGGAAAAATTCGCGCAATGCTCAAATAATGGACCTCATGTTGATCCGTTAGGAAAGCATCCACGGATCTGTCAGACAGAATGAGGGGAGAAGTTTCAAGATACGGCGTTTCAGTAAATTGTGTCTAGCCAACTGGCGCTGCGTAAGATGAATTGGCGACCAACGAGAACCCAGATGAGAAGCTTTATATTCGACGTGTTTAAGCAAAATATTGATCAGTAGTGTGGCGTAGGTCAATTTATTTCCACATATAATTCTTCAGAAGTAAGTCCTCGCAGTCGCAGTCCACACAGATAGGAAGGCAAGAAGTAGTCCGTGACTGTTATAGCGTATAATCGCCCTGCCACTTAGTGCCATAGCCCCGAAATACCGCACAAAGACTACTTCAATGTAGCACCCCCTCCCTCCCAAAGCCACTAGGCTCTCCACGGACATCCGAAGAACGAGGATGATAAAGCAATAAAACTCACGATCCGTGTTTTTTGGTCTACTTAGAAGT